TGTCTGGCAAGTTTTGTGTCAAATAACAGGTTTCACTGAAGACTGGCTGCTTGAATCTGAATTGTATTAAATGTATTATGTTTGAAGATGTGAATGCAATCTTTTCAAATCTGATTCTATCCCAATTTCTGAATTCTCACAATGGTGCGAAGTTTACTTTTTTAAGTATTCAAAGAGAATTTTTTTTCTCATGCATTTTAAGCTTATTCCAATGCTGTTTTGGATTTCAAAGGGGACATCACCATTTACTCATGGACTGCTTAATCTCTCTGAAGAACTAGCCCCACTTTTTACACAGCACTCAAGATGAATTATAGTGAATGTACATCACAAAACCAGTATGTTGACATACTGGTACAGTATCTCCAGTATCTTAAGCAAAGCAAAAGGAAGACAGTGCACAGTAAATTCATAACAGACATCATTAGGGTTGTCAGACAAATGTCAACATGTTCTTGCTCACAACATTTATGATGATAACATTAATGAATGCAGAGACTGTGTCGAGCGGATAGGCATTTTAAGCTTGAGAGACTGTGGGAACCGTTTAAATGAAAAGATTTAAAGCAGATGGCAACACTAAGCTGTAAATGTGAGTCCCCATTAAACATTACACAGTCATATCTGTGTCAGTTTAATTATTCATCCGCAGCTCTTAAAAGCCCAGCCGTATGTTCAGCTAATGTTAAAATAGACTGTCCAATTAACATGGCGAGAGGAGCATATTTACCAGCAAGTTTGGATTCACTCTCTCTAGAAGACACAGGGCTGTCATTTTGGAGTCTTGATTCAAAATGGCATGTCAGTCTTAACAGCTAGTTAAAGTTCGAATCTAGGCCTATAAATAGTCTCACATTGTATAAACACATCAACTCATGGCATCAGTACCACAGAGGCAATAAAAATGATAAAATACTGAATGACTTAGAGCAGGGGTGCCCAATTCTGGTCCTGGAGCTCTACCATCCTAGTCTATCACACCTCATGTAGGTAATCAGAGTCTTCAGGGGCATCTGAACATTACAGCCATATGTGTTGGATCTGAACTCTCCAGGGTAGTAGATCTCCAGGACAAGGATTGGGTCCTGGAGATCTACTACCCCTGGCTTAGAGGTTGCATTAATGAATACTAGTTCCACATTGCATGAATAATGTAATAATGCTATGCTGCAACAATAACAAGTGCTGTAATTAATGTTATAATAATAATAATAGGGTTTAAAACATTAATTAAATGTCCACTTTTATGTAAAATGCAAAGTAAACTGAATTACCACAATATCATCTACGATTTAGGGTTTTTATTTTTAAACTGGATCTATATATAATTCATTATGCATTATATTGCTACTGAGATAACACACAGTTCTTTCCCTCATTTCAGTTCAATTTTATTTACATAGCGCCTCTCACAACAGACATGTTCACAAAACAACTTTACAGAAATCTGGGTCCAGACTTCTCAAAAGCAAGTCAAGGGCAACAGTCGCAAGGACACCTTTCTAACAGAACACGGAAGAAACCTTAAAGAAACCAAGACTCAAAAGCAGACCCCACCCTCTTCTGCATGACACTGGATTTTGGAATAATGATATGTGGAACTTGTATTTATTATACATGCAAGTTTACAAGTAACTTAACCAGATTAACTAGATGCTATCAGATCATCCAGAGGAAAAAATGAATGAGATGAATGATAAATAAGTCTGGCCATGATCTGGCAGACTACTGATCATCTTGGACATAATACGTGTGCAATAACACATTTCCACCATAGAGGACTCCAAATCCCCAACACGTACATAATGTAGCTTTAATCAAATGTGTTTTACACACACAAGATCCTATGATACACTCTCAGAGAAAAAGGTACTAAACTTTCACTGGGGTTGTATTCCTCAAGGTTCTTCAGTACCTTTAGGGAACATAACTGTATATTCCATTGCAACTCTATATTTTTAATTTGCAGTGGCCCCATACATCCTGTCTCCAGTCTTTTTATTATTTATTTTAAAACATGAGGTTATCAAAAGGTACGGATATACACATTTCCCCATCAGAAACTGACCTTTAGACCATTGTTCTACCTTTGAGGGTAGGTTTTCATTGTTTGTACAATGATGAACAAAAATGTTTTTACAGCATGCTTTTTCCGACAGTGTACAAGACCTACAAATTTCAGGGGTGAGTCCAGCATCAGGACAGTCTGATCCCAAAAACTGGTTTGGCACAACATACATGGCAGCACTTCACCCGAAAACACACAGATGGTGGATGACCCTCGAGCTCTGTCTACAGGCATCATTCCAGAGTCAGTTCATGCATTAAGAATCATGGCCTCTGTTTGGGTGACTGTGGACAAACAAAAAGCTATCACCAGAGAGGTTATGATTGAAAACCCAAGCCTTGTATTTTTTTGCTACTGTGAATATTTTTTGTCACATGCATCTGCCGAATGAACCATGGAGGGTCCTTCAGTCAGGAAAAGCACTGTCATATGTCAGTTGTCATTTAAATACCACATTGCTTGCCATTCATAAAAACAGCTTGGCCCCTTTGTTAAAAAAGCTCTTTGCTGCCTAAGGTCACATAGGATTTGGTCTTCCTCCCTCCTCTTTTGTAAAACTGCAGAGGCACCACCATGCAGTTGAACTTTCAATTACTCCACATGTTCCGGCAGCAAAAGGCCCCTCTGTCTGGCCTAGTCCTCAGTTGTTAATCTCACTCCAAGTGCCAGCATTAAGGCGATAATCGTAGCGCATGTGACAAAAGCAGGAGAAAAAATCTATCCCTAGAGTGTGCCACAGAGGCAGGGTGGGATTTTGCCTATGACTAAACCAATAGCGATTCAGTCATGCAAACTTAATACACATGGAATCCTCTAGAATTAATGGATGTGGTGTTTTAACCATCCAGTATGATCATTTAACAATGTATTGCCCTCTAATGATTGGTAAGCACACATGAATCAGCTGCTCCATGGAAAGGGAGGCACAAGATAGAACAGAAGCTAGGAAGAAGAGCCTTGGAGCCTCTTTTAACATTTCACGCTTTATGTTCACACTTCTGTAATATGCTCTTTTTCTGAGCGCCTCCAGCTGCACTCCTGCCATCCCATTAATTGCAGTTTCACTGAGAGTTCAGCAACCTGCACAATATAGCTATATCCTCTATAGCTGTCACTCTTCTGCTGAGGTACTTAAAAGGGACGACTTTTTAAAAGCTGGTGTGTGACTTTAGATAAGTAGCAAGCTGCTGAAGTGAGGCTTGCTTTCATCTCGGCACAGCCCGACCATTTTTCACCATCGGAAGTAAAGGCTTCAGAAGATGTGTTAGCCCCCCTGAATACAAATTTCTTGCTTGAAAGGTCAGGTTGGCCTCTAGACATTTTGGCTTGACGTTCCTCATAGATGAACCAATCATCCATGTTATTAAACATGTTGACTGGAAGGGGCAGTTTTGTTTTGTTTTTCCCCAATAAGCCCTCTACACTTACAAAAAAAAAAACAACCGGAGTTGTTTGCCTGAAACTGAAAAAACGTTAACAGCAAATAAACAAATTGTTTTGTCTTTAAGTTTCTGGTTTACATAAAATGGACAAAAAAAAAAGAAAGTACATGGCAATGAATGAAAACGTTGATCCAAAGAGAATTTCATTCCAATGAAACCCAAATAAATCTTACTGGAATGTTTCAATTTTGTTCCACCAGCAATTGAACTTTACGTGAGGTAACAAAATCTGTGTATACTGACTCTACTCAATTTGACTGAATGGAAATGTGCGGCATTATTGTATAGTCCATACAACATACAACTGAGTTTTTGGAGTATAGATCCTCCTTATGTCCCATCTTTGTATCCCCCTCGAAGATGGTGGTAGCTACATCTTCCTGCCAAAACACTTGGAACACACTGACAGTGTAACGGCTTGTGGCAGCGGGAAATAACATGCCATTTCCACAAAGGTCTGAGCTGAATATTGATAAGGATTCCAAAAGCCCTTAGCACTCACCATCTCCCTCCACAAGGACACTAAACTCACCCACGCTGAGAATAAGGCCACAGAAAGCCCCTTCGCTCTTACTCAACCATGAATGGCCTACTTTTTAAAAAACAGAGAAGAAATAAAGCCGTCCTGAGTGAAATATGTCACGATCTTTGTAAATATCTCTCTCGGTATGAGAGAGAATCGCGGGCAATCATCTATCAAGCGCGACCATATGTTGCTTTGGGTGGAGAGGGGACGGGAGCTTACCGCAAAGCCTGACTTATCCGCAGCATTACAGACTCTAAGAAAGGATTTAGTCTTTAATTCTTGATTAGATAGAATGTCTCTACTGAACGAAAGCGGGACGATAGACTGAACAGATACAACCAGCTCAGAGGGAGAAAATACGCTGCGAGCTCGCCACGCTATTACGGTGAACATCAGCACTGGGCACCTACACAATGTGATAGAGCTATTATTAGACATCGTGGATTATCAATGAAAAATTAATCCCCTTTCTCGTCTCCATTCCAGCAGAGAGGATCTCGCTTTTTAGTCTTCCCACGTGTTAATGAACATGTTTCTTTTTCTCTCCATTCTCTTCTCGACAGACCGACGAAGAGTCGCGTTTTCCTCAGAAACAGGAGAAACCCCCTCTGTGAGCGAAACAGTGTTAAAGACGTCGTTTGTTCGCGTTTCAGTCACGAATTTCAGTCAGAAACTCGAAAATCTATGAGGAAATTCGCCCATTCTCCTCCCTCTCCACTCTCCTGTCGAAGACTCTGAGGAAAACTCTCAGAAACAGGAGGAGAGAGCAGCACAGAGCCGGAGACGTGGCTGTTTTTTGGTTTTCAGTCAGAAACACATTAAGAGAGTCATCCTCTGTGAGTTTAAGGGCAGCGCGAGAGGAGAGAGAGGTGATTGTACTGCGCGAGCTCGCTCATGCGTTTCCCGCCCTCCGCTGCTAGCTCGCGCTGAGAGCGCGCGCGCCTCCGCGAGGCTGAGCAGGCAGGTCAGCGCGCGCTCTCCATGGAGCTCTAGTCAGACGGGGACTCGGATGAAAACGGCGCTTCGCTCGTTGGTTCTTGCATTCCAGCCCCCTGACGGTGGGACCCTCAGCACAGCTGCACCCATGACTTTACAGACCTGGCTGCTGTACGGGGTTGGATTCACTTTGGCATCAGCGTTCTTCATCACACACGGTGAGTCAGTGGCTGAAAGCAAAGTTGGGATTTGGGAGTGTGCGGGCAGCCATGTATTTAGCTCTCAGTGGGGAGCGAATGACCCTGGGACCATGGAAACTATGAACGTTTAAATCTAAAAGCTTTTATTATCTAAATGCTTATTTGATAAAGTGAAATATAAAAAAAAAAAAAAAGATTTCCTTTGGGAAAAGCTAGACTTTGATCTAGGTGTACACTCTCACCAAAAAGGTAATTGGACCTGTAACAGTACAGGGTTTTATTAAAAAAAAAAAGAGTGAGTTGTCAGGCTTCTGTCACTCTTAAAAAAGATGGTCATTTAAGGGTTCTTAAGTAAAGGAAATGGTTCTATTTAGAACCTTGAGTCCTATATAGAACGATTTCATGTGTAAATGTAATTTGCATCGTGACTGGGTTCTTCAGATTATTGGAGAATGTGTTGTATATGGTTCTATATAGAACCTTTTTGAAAATGGTTCTAAATAACACAAAAACTGTTCTTCTATTGTTATGATGTCCAGCCTGTAACAATAGAAGAACCCTTTGTGGTGGTATAGAGAACCATTTTCAAAAAGGTTCCATATAGAACCATATACATCACATTCTTCATCAAACTGAAGAACCATTTCAGCATGCAAAGAACCATTTAAGCATGAAACGATTCCATATAGAACTCATGGTCCTAGTAGAACCAATCCCTTTACTAAAGAAACCTGCAATAATGCAAAAGTCAGTAGAGACACCATACAAAGAGAGCAAAAAGAAAATGTGTGTGTGTGTGTGTGTGTGTGTGTGTGTGTAAGAATGATGAAAAAGAAAAACAGCAAAGTGGAACAAATGAATGAATGTATATTACCGAGACTGAAATGCCTTTTTTTCACCTTAAACTAATTTAAACAGTCACACTAAGGACTAGGTCTCTAAAGGACAGTTACTTCAATGGTGACACATGTAGGAGAGAAAATGCTGAAATTTAAGATAAACTGCTGTGTCTAAAACATGATGATTTGTGTTGTAGGTTAACTTACAACGTTTCAGCTCTTAAAACAGCACTACTGACATGCAATGGAATGAGAGTAGTTACCTTGACAATGGCAAGAAAATTAATTCTGTGAAACAAAATTCTGTGAACATTAAGTCCAGACATTGCACTTGTTTTACCTGTACGTATATGCACCTGCACACCCAGACTTCTATTTTCAATCTGCAGCAACTGTACTACATTAAAGACTCTCATTATTCTCATTATGAGAAACATGCTTCTTTGAAGAAAGATAGGTCAATGCCAACATTAAAATTATCTTTCACAATATGCTAAAATGAGAGCCAATTATTCAAATAATGCTGCTGATGTTAATGCTGTTAATGAGGAATTGGAAAACTGAATGAAGTCACATCCATTTTGCCTGCCAAATATAAAAGATGCATCGATCATTCATGACTGAGTAATTCACTGAACTGAGTGCTGAGCTAATGGGGGAATTAAACAGCAATAAACCTCTAAAATGTGCTAGTCATATTGAGAACAGGTCCACAACATCAACTGCTTTGTTATTAATTGACCAAATTGACAAAATCTCCTCTTAGAGAATGCACACATTTTTAAAAAGAGCAACCTTGAATACATCCAACCCTCTAAAGAGATTTCATAAAGTTTATATTACTACATTAGTATGTTCAGGAAAGCTACCTTATTTCCAGGAGTGTATACTTCATGAGACCTGGCTTTAGTTCCCTTAAGGCATTACATTGATTTCAACAGTTTCCCCCCCCCAAGTGATTTTCATAAGAGCATTTGGTAGGGATTAATGGGCTTCTGAAATCTGGCTGAGAGCTTTTGGGTTGGCTATTTAACGGAGTGGCGGGATAGTGCAGCTTGAGTCCCATAGCAGAGCGCTTCAGGGGCAGGGGATGAAGAGGATGTTTTGACAGGCACGGGAGAGGAATATACAAATGTTTACTTCACAAGACTGCAGGAGGTCATTGGCAGGTGCTGAAAGGGCCCAACCACACCAACAATCCTTTTAGGCCTAAAGGAATAATGCTGGTAACCTGCCAGATACTTAAGAAAGTAAAAGTAACCGTGGGAATCTAAGGTGTCTTAGGACTTGGACATTGTGTTCTCCATATCATGTACTAACACACAGTTTTCTCCTCTCTTTGCTTTGCTAATTATATTGGACAATGTACCACAGCAAGCTGATGAAGATAAAAATGTAGAATTGAATGGAAAAACACCAAATTACACTTTCTGTGATGCAACACTGTTTCCAAAAAGGTTGGGGTACTGTGCAATAATGTAAATAAAAACAGACTGCAATGATATGCAAGTCATTTAAACCCTATATTTAAGTGAAAATAGTACAAAGACAACATATCAAATGTTGACAATGACAGATTTTTTAGTTTTTTCAAAATATATATGCCCATTTTGGGTTTGATGCCAGCAACACATTTCAAAAAAGTTGAAACAGGGGCAACAAAAGATAAAAGTAAAAGTAAAATCTCACAGCTAATTAGGTTAACTGGCAACAGGTCAGTAAGATCACTGGGTATAGAACACTCACTCAGAGAGGCTGAGTCTTTCAGGAGAACTATGTAAAAGACAGCAGAGGCAAAAGTGCAACAATTCAGAAGTCAAGTCAAGTCAAGAGGCTTTTATTGTCATTCCATCAATGTACAAGTACACAGTGGAGTGAAATTACGTTCCTCCAAGAACAAGGTGCAACAAGGAACAAAAAGTACAAAGTGCGAACGTGCAGACATAGTGTTCAAACAAAAAATTAAGCTAGAAACAATACAATAAATTTGATAAATTAAACAGACATTAGACACAGTAAACAGACAGGACAGTGCAGCGCCGACACAGCACTCATTTCTGAGCATGAAGTAGTGGAATAAGGTGCAGAGATATTTAACGTGCTGTGATCTGTGAGTTTACGCAGTCAGATAACGTACGTGAGCACAGCAGTTACTGAGGTAGTAAAACAGTGTAAACACAGTATTAGCAGCAATGTTCCAGTGCATCAAAAGAGGTGTGTGTGGGTGTGTGGGTGGGGAGGGGGATTTAGTTCAGTCCTTGTGAATTTAAAAACCTGATTGCTTGAGGAACAAAGCTGTTGCAGAGTCTGGCAGTGATGGCACGGATGCTCCGGTACCTTCTGCCAGACGGCAGCAGTGAAAAAGTCTGTATGAGGGATGGATGGGGTCGTCCACAATGCTGGTGGCTTTCCGGATATAACGTGTGGCGTGATGTCCATGATGGAAGGGAGAGAGACCCCGATGATCCTCTCAGCTGTCCTCACTATACACTGTAGGGTCTTGCGGTCAGAGGCGGTGCAATTCCCAAACCAGGCGTGATGCAGCTGCTCAGGATGCTCTCCACAGTCCCCCTGTAGAACATGGTGAAGATGGGAGGGGGGAGATGAGCCTTCTTCAGTCTCCGCAGGAAGTAGAGGCGCTGCTGGGCTCTCTTGGCTATGGAGTTGGTGTTGAGGGACCAAGTGAGGTTCTCTGTGATGTGGACACCGAGGAACTTGGTGCTCCTGACGATTTCCACAGCAGAGCCAGTGATGTTAAGTGGGCGGTGGTCACCTCGTACTCTCCGGAAATCTCCTTAGTTTTGTCTACATTCAGAGACAGGTTGTTGGTTCCGCACCAGTCTGTTAGCCGCTGCACCTCCTCTCTGTACGCTGCCTCATCATTCTTGCTGATCAGACCCACCACAGTTGTGTCATCAGCAAACTTGATGTGGTTTGAGCTGTACTTTGCAGTACAGTCATGAGTCAGCAAAGTAAACAGCAGCGGACTGAGCAAACAGCCCTGAGGGGCACCGGTGCTCAGTGTGGTGGTGCTGGAGATGTTATTACCTATCCTGACTAACTGAGGTCTCTCAGTCAGGAAATCCAGGACCCAGTTAAAGAGGTAGGTTTTCAGGCCTAGCAGGCTCAGTTTTCCAATCAGCTGCTTGGGGATGATGGTGTTGAATGCTGAACTGAAGTCTATGAACAGCATTCTAACATAGGTGTCTCTATTGTCCAGGTGGGTGAGAGCCAGGTGGAGTGTGGTGGAGATGGCGTCGTCTGTTGAGCAGTTGGGACGATATGCAAATTGCAGTGTGTCCAGTGAAGGAGGGAGCTGGTCTTTAATGTGCCTCATGACAAGCCTCTCAAAGCACTTCATGATGATTGGAGTAAGTGCAACGGGGCGGTAGTCATTGAGGCAGGACACTGGAGACTTCTTCGGCACAGGGATGATGATGGTGGACTTGAAGCACGTTGGAACGACTGCAGTGCTCAGAGAGATGTTGAATATGTCCGTGAGAACATCAGCCAGCTGTACGGCACAACGGTCTCTGAGCACTCTGCCCGGTATGCTGTCAGATTCTGGTGCTTTCCATGGGTTGACTCTGTGTAGAGTTCTCCGCACATCAGCTGTGGACAGACACAGTACCTGTTCACTTGGAGGAGGAGTGGTTTTCCTCGCCGTCGTGCCGTTCTGTGCTTAAAACCGAGCATAGAAGTTATTTAGCGCGTCTGGAAGGGAGGCATCACTGTCACAAGCAGGTGGAGGTGATTTGTAGTTGGTGATGGCCTGGATGCCATGCCACATGTGCCGTGTGTCAGCAGAATGACGTCTCTCAATGTAAAGGAACGTGAACTTCACCATACAGTATATAATATCATTAAAAGATTGTGAGAATCTGGAGAAATCTCTGTATGTAAGGGACAAGGCCAAAAACCGATATTGGCTGGCTGTGATCTTTGGGCTCTCAGGCAGCACTGCATTAAAAACAGACACGATTCTGTAGTGGAAATCACCGCATGGGTTCAGGAACACTTCTGAAAACTACTGTGAACACAGTATATTGCAGCATCCACAAAGGCTAGTTAAAACTCTGCCATGCAAAGAAGAAACTATATATAAAAAGTATCCAGAAATCCTGCCTTTGCTAGGCCCATTTAAGATTAAGGACTGAGGTGAAAAGTGTCCTGTGGTCTGAGAAAAATTTTAATTCTTTTTGGAAATCATGGATGCTGCATCCTCCGGGCTAAAGAGGAGAGGGGCCATCTGGCTTGTTATCAGCACACAGTTCGAAAGCCAGCACCTGTGATGAAATGGGGGTGCATTACTGCACATGACATGGGTGACCTGCACATCTGTGATGGCACCATTAATGCTGAATGATGTATACAGGTTTTGGAGCAAAATATGCTGCGATCCAGATTACGTCTTTTTCAGGGAAGGCCTTGCTTATTTCAGAAAGACAATGCCAAACCACATGGAAAATACAGAAATTGGTCTGCTTAGTTCCCGAACGCTTACAGAGTGTTATTAAAAGAAGAGATGATGCAACACAGTGGTGAACATGCCCCTGTCCCAACTTTTTTGAAATGTGTTGCTGGCATTAAATTCAAATATTAATTCATTCGTATTTTTCTAAAAAACAATAAAAAATACAGAATTTTAACATCTGATATGTTGTCTTTGTACTATTTTTAATTAAATATAGGGTTTAAATGATTTGCACATCATTACATTCTGTTTTCATTTACATTTTGCACAGCGTCCCAACTTTTTTGCAAATGGGGTTGTATGATAGATCCCAAAAGGCAAAATAGAGAAGATCACAAATTGAGATTCAAAGAGAAAGATTGTAAAACAAAAAAGTGCTGTTCAGAATTACAGGAATATAAAAAGGAAATATGATTAAGAAATTGCATAAAAAAGCAGAAAAAAAACACAGGTCAACACATTCACACAAACACACATAACCACCCATACAAAGACATAAAGGGGAATTCCATTTTTTTAAATTCCTGTTTAATTTAACTGTTAAGATGTAAAAAGGTCATTCAGAGTGGTTTAATGTATAATGTATATATGTACGGTAATTTTGAAATTTTTGGTTCTCTCTGAGGTTTTTGCCTGAAACGTATTTTTTTAAATCCATTCATGGTGGAGAGGTACATGCAGGGTATTGTTGGCAAAATAGTCCCCCCGAGAAAGATTTCCCACAATTTTACCATTGTTAGCATTATATATAAAAACTCAAGAATACGTTCACTAGTAGTTTTACATAATAAATAAAATGGCTATATTTGTGTTGTAATCATCACAACCCCTGATTCCTGACACCACCATTTGTAAAAAACAAAGATCTGTCATGAGTCTCAAATGAGCATCCTGATCAGTCACTTTCAGTCAGGTCCTAGGCCTCGAAGGTCCCCAGATGATCTTAACAAAGTCATCTTTCATGTAGTTCTACAATGATGGACACATACAGTTCAAGTTCCACTATCATAAGCCGAGCCACCATGTCTGATAGGATAGTTTAGAGGTTGGCATAAACAAGTTTACATCTCGTCACAAAAACCTCACACAAGTATACTACATGCCTTATAGAGGCACAAAAAACATATATATTCCTGGGTGTACAAAAATATTCGTTGGACAAATATTCTATTATACTATCCCAGGGTACTTATGTTGTGGCGTTATGGAGGTTAGTTTCCACATAGACTATTTAATTAAGGTTCCATAAATGGTTCTTGGCTTAAATGTTCTTCACACTCACATACCTCATTCACAAAAATGCTTCTTCGAATAACCGTGCATTGAAAGGTCCCTTAAGGAAACAAAAGTGGTTCTTCCCTATTATGTGATAGCACCTTGGAGAGCTGAGGTTCTTACATACCATCTTTCATGTGAAATACACAACAAATGCCACCACATCCCTTTAAACTACCCCTACACAGTACTGTCGAGCAACTCAGTGCTGCGTAGTGAAAAAACTTCCATAATATGTTTTCATAAAGTCAATCAGTTATATTGTTAAACTCATTAAACCCTTCCAAGAGAAGTCTGTACTCAAATCATAGTTGAGTGATGTTTTTGAGCTAATATGATTAATTAAAAAGCAAATCGGGACAAGGTCTAGGCTGTATACTTTGTTCTACAATATTACCTAGTTATTTTTTTTCATGATACTTTTCTGTAAATTATTCTCTATGCTATTATAAGCTTCTTGCTTCAATGTTGTAAAAGATACTAGATGCAGGACCACAATTTAGGAACACCAAAATGCTGAAATTGGTACTACTATTGGTACTACTTTCAGTTTCTAAAAATAGCCCAAAACAAATCTATCTTGGATAAACAGGTGTGTTTTTCAGCAATTTACTGTAATTCTCTGAACTATACATAGCTTGGACTTAAAACTTAGATATGGGCACATCACGTGTTTGAGTGGTATTTGTTTCATGAGTAGTTGATATATCAAGAGTCTTTTGGATGGAAATGGGATAATATGTAAGAAATGAGAAGTTCAACAGTTTTACAAGCATGTAACACTAGAACAGTCTCAGTGACTCTGGTCTCATTCCAGGGTCATTACTCTGAAAATGTGGTAATTTCATGCTTACAAATTTGATTGATGCCTCTGCCCATGTGCTGATTGTATGGAGAAACTGCTGTATAGGCTGGTCGGAACAATTCTGAGATAAGGACTTGGATATGAGGAGCTGAGCCTGCATCATCATAAAGACTTCTACTTGTAGCTCAGGAGAAAAGATATTTGTCATTTTAAGATCTAATCAATGTATTTGATATGTATTAGGTATGTAATGAATGTAAATGCTTTGCATTTGCTGTTAACTGCAAAGATGGCACATTCAATCAACAAGGAGACAAGAGTGAAGATTATACATGCTCAGATTCTCACATTTTGCATAATGACCATTAGAGCAGAACAAAAGGATTTTGTTTTTAATGGAAACTATAGGTTTTCGTTTGTCAATGGAGAAAATAAGGAGGTCTGAGCAAACCAAATATATTGCAAAAATATATCGTAGCATTTTCAAATAGTCTAAATATCTTGTATTTCTCATTTTGAGATCTTTTATTCAACTTTATGTTGCATTTTGTCTAGTAAAAGTGCCTTATTTAATTGGCAGATAATTTTGCTTGTTTTCAGAAATGATGCCTGCTGAATGATCAAGTTGTATGATCAAAATGCGAAATATTGCATACATATACTAAGTATAAGATACTAAAACATCATTCTGTGCAGAGCAGTAGTTCATCTGAAATGAATCCTTGAGATTTTGCAGTTAGAGCTAGAGTGCTGGATCATATCTAGTGGTCAATTTCTGGAATAAAATAATTTCAGGAGGGAAAGGGGAAGCTGATGCAAAGGCAGTGCAACTAAATAGTTTTACTGTTATACTGTAATATTCATGTGGTTCTGTTACAGTGAGAACTGTTACTTGTGAAGCCTCTTTGAGGCCTTTTTTCCTTGTTCATGAGCAGATTCTATATGCCTTTATCTCAATTTCCATACTCTTCTTGCTTCTTCACTCGTATGTCAGAGAGAACAGAAAAACTACACAATTCCACACATTTTCCATTCAGTTTTACACTTTTGTACATGCAAATGCACTTATTCAAAATAAACTTCTGTGTTCTTTTTAAAGTCCATGGACTGCAGTGCTATGGCTGTAATGTTATCCATGGGCAGAGGTATGTGGATGTGGGCTGCTCCAACCCTGAGGTTATCACCTGTACTCATTCCCACAAAGGCTTTAAGCACCGCTTCTGCATCAAGACAGAGAGCAGTAAGTACTTTTTACAGTTCATAGTAATATTGATCTAAAGACAAACGATCTGAACAGAGATATAGCAGAAAAGTCCATCCATCAAATAGTATTAAAATAGTATTACTATTTAAATAGTATTTTAGTATAAGGTTTGCTGATTGTCAACAGTTTCCTTGACAGTTCACCATCCTGAAAATTCAAGAAAATCTGTTTATTTCACTGTGTGTCAGTTGTCTGCAAGACGTCATGTGAATCAATCTGTAGTGACCTACATCTGCATGTACTGCAAATCCTCGATCTTAATCTTCAGTCTAGGGGCATGTTTATCCATTCTACATAAAATTAGCACATACAGCCTCCTTGTTAATCCTAATCTTAAAGACTATACATCTGTACTATATGATGTTATAATCCCTGTTCTCGATGTCCACAGCTCTTTATCTGTAACAGACACTACAGATAAGACAATGGGTATAACAGGCCTTGTAGAACTCACATCCCATTAGAAACAAACAGAATGATCACCTTAATTTGCCATTACGGCATTAAACTCATGAGCTCATAAAGTATATGCCAAATTCATCCCCGATCCACTAATCTTTCTGCATGGGTGCAGAACCTCAAAAGACTTACATAGTCAATAATGAATCATGCTGACGTGCACCCAAGACGCAGCGTCAATCTTGTAGACATTTGGAGAGCTGGATGTGTTTGGCAATCGGCTGAGGTAGCACTGTTTTCTACCGGCTCAGGGAAATAACAGGGTCAGAGACTGCTGATGACAGTTCGTCAGTAAGTACGTAGACTGACATGTCGGACAAGGCTGCTTTGAGCTAGCAGCAGGACGCCTTTGAACACTGTCTTGGGTTTGATCTGGACCTGCACACTGTCTTAATCCCAACAAAGGAGCGTTTCGCTCCTGCTAGGGGCCAGTTGCGTAACATGCTTAGCCGCCTACACTCCTTTGTCCTCCATTACCACGAAAGGTTGGACTATCACCATGCTTCCTGGACATTGTGTATTAATACAAACTGCACTTCTTAGAAAAAGGGGTCTGAAAGCAATTACTAGCAACTATCTCAGCAGAAAGTGAACCAGGATAGTGGAAATGTCACATTTTGATCTACCTTGATATTACTTCATTGCCTAGTCTAGCTTGAGTTTTCAAGGATGTATCTGTAATGTTTGTCTTGGTTGCTGTCAGAACTAAGGTCAAGTAGAGCTACAGAAGTGCCCATATTATGGAAAACCAAGTTGTCTATGCTTTTTTTAAATAAATGATTTTGATGTAGTATGTAAACACTGTTAAAGTTTCAAAATATACCACTAACTTCCCAGTCCATGTGCAAATTCACCTTTCATGTTTATGTGAACTCCAAATAATATATACACCAATCAGGCATAACATTATGACCACTTCCTTGTTTCTATGCTCATTGTCCATTTTATCAGCTCCACTTACTATATAGGTGCACTTTGTAGTTCTACAATTACAGACTGTAGTCCATCTGTTTCTCTGCATACTTTGTTAGCCCCCTTTTACCCTGTTCTTCAGTAGTCGGGACCCCCATGGACCCTCACAGAGCAGGTACTATTTGGGGGGTGGATCATTCTCAGCACTGGAGTAACACTGATGTGGTGGTGGTGGTGTGTTAGTGTGTGTTGCGCTGGTACGAGTGGATCAGACACAGCAGTGCTGCTGGAGTTTTTAAACACTGTGTCCACTCACTGTCCACTCTATTAGACACTCCTACCTTGTCAGTCCACCTTGTAGATGTAAAGTCAGAGACGACAGCTCATCTGCTGCTGCACAGTTGGTGTTGGTCATCCTCTAGTTCTTCATCAGTGGTCACAGGATGCTGTTGGCTGGGTATTTTTGGTTGGTGGACTATTCTCAGTCCAGCAGTGATATTGAGGTGTTGAAAAATTCCAACAGCACTGCTGTGTCTGATCCACTCAGACCAGCGCAACACATACTAACACACCCTCACCACCTCAGTGTTACTGCAGTGCTGAGAATGATCCACCACCCTAAAACACCTGCTCTGTGAGGGTCCATTGGGGGTCCTGACCACTGAAGAACAGGGTAAAAGGGGGCTAACAAAGTATGCAGAGAAGATTGTAGAACTACAAAATGCACCTATATGGTAAGTGGAGCTGATAAAATGGACAATGAGCGTAGAAACAAGGAGGTGGTCATAATGGTATGCCTGATTGGTGTACATACCTGTGTATTCAGCCTATAGAAGCTTAGCTCTGCCCGTTAACACTGAAGTTGTGTACTGAAGTGTTTCAGCCTTTTTTTAAATGAAGCACAGGGCAGCCAATCAGAACAGAGCTCCACAATACAGGGCAACCGATCAGAACAGAGCTCTTTTACAAATATCAGTCTTGAAGGCACCATAAAAGAATAGGCTGTTTAAATCTAATGGATATAGAGAGGTTGGAACATGGTTGTGTATCAATGAGTTATGACTGTTCTTAGTACCTAAATCCACATAAATGATATAAGTGGACCTCAGAGGAAAAAATAAAATTCAGTTACTTTATCATTTCATTCAACCAACTGAAGTGAATTGAACTGAGATGCCACCGACATGTCAAAGTCTACCAACAAATCAAATCACAAAAAGGCCAACATGTCATTTGAATTGTTATAATAATTTTAATATTCAAAAAAACGTTTTTGATTGTAAATATGTGATGACAATGACTGCTTTACTGTGTAAAGTAGCTGAAATAGCCTTTGTTTCCAGGTGACTGGTTTGCCTGGACTCTTTAAAATTCATCATAAGAACTCATAATGAGAGCAGGTGATGACTATTCAAGGATTCCTTGAATTTCACCTTGACTTCCAGGCAATTGTTGTCCACCTGGACTTGCAATAGGAATGACTCATTCATCTTTCTCTTTGGAGTAGGCAAGAGAATGCTTTGTTCAAGCTTGCTGAATATGGACAATTGGGCATGGATTTAAAACAAGAGATTGCATTGCTACATTAAACAGATAACCACTGTAAATATATGCATAAGTGTATTTTGTCTGTGAAAAGAGACAGCCTGAGCCTTTCTGATGAAACCTAAGAAGAAGAGCTATGGGAAAGCAGTTTGAATTGGAGATGCTGACAATATTTGATATTGAAATCTATTAGCTGATACCAGTTGGATATTTTTCATTAAAAATACTAAGCTTGAAATGAGCTTCTTTAATTGAATCTTTAATTGAAGCACTTCATTTGAGACGTGCATCTAAAACTACTCAAAAACGCTACTACCCCACAGGAAGAAATGCACAGCTTACAACATCAACATCAACTAACAACATCAACTCCAATTTCCGATGCAGTAGTTTCTGCTGATCTTGGCCTGATACTGATACGGGATTAGATCGGTGCCATCTTTAGTTTGAATGGAAAACAGAATTTAGAGGCTGGCATACTCTTGCATCCCTCCCTTTTCGTTTCTGAAGTACTGGCGATGTCATTTGTAGACTAATGTCAGCATTCTTAAAGGGGAAAGGGGAAAATTCCACTGATATTTCAAAACTTTTGCTTAATTCAATGGTTAATAAATAAACAAACAAAGTGGTTTGATGTGAAATGCTCTGTTCTAATAAGCAACTTACCGAGTCAGAAATGTTCATAGTGGTCATGATAGGAATCAGACATCTGAAGGGTTTAATATCTCTGAAAGCACCATCACAGCAAGTTATTACATGACATGGTTGTGAATACACTTCCTGATGCCTGAGACATTTTTAATGATAGTTTTGAGACACGATTTTGGCCTAAAAGTCATGGTAGATGGGGTACATGCAAGATGTTTGTAAAGCAAAACAGTCCCCTTATTTTTTCTGATTTATCACTATTTTACCCTTATCAACATTACATATACACCACTGTAGAGAAATGCAAGTCAGTAAGTTTCTCTGCAATGAAATATTTCACATCAAACTACTCTGAATGACTTTTCTTACATCTTAACTGCTGAATTTCCTTTAAAGTCAACAACAATAGGACATTGTAATGAATATCCCTTCTGTACCATGATTTCCAAGTAAAACACAGCATGAGGGAGGGTCTTTCAGTTATTTGATCATTTTGCTCAGTGAAAGGTGGTGTGGTGGGAGTAGAAGGTGAAACATGATACTGGTTAATATTGTTTTTCCCTGCTTGCTTCTGCTTGGTAACGTAGTCAGAAAATCTAACAAAAACAAGAATTTTGTCTTTTAAATGATATGAGGAATTGTGCATAACATAACCAGGCACATGAACTACCAGAGGTCAGTTTTGATTGCATATTGACTTTAACACTTGCTCTCTTTCCCTGCCTCCACAGCGGCTCTGGGCATTGTCCTGACTAGTGGCTGCGCTACCTCCCGCCACTGCCAACAACAGGAGCTGCCCGGAGTGAGCATCCACTGCTGCGATTCTGACTTGTGTAACGGCGCCCCCTCCCGACACCCAGGCTTACTGCATTACATCTGCCTGCTGGTCAGCCTAACCATGGTGTGGATGCAACTGTGATGAGGATATTGCCTGAGGATGACAGGACCTGTTTACAACCATTCCCTGGAAATAGTATCAGTGGCAGTTCAATGGAAAACAAAATTTTCTCATGTTTTGTCCTTCTATATTTATGCTTTGAATAACGTGTCATTATATTGCATTTCCACTGCCAGTCAGGAAAGGAATTGAATTACATGAGGAAGGGCAGAATTCATATTCCACATGAAAACAAGTTTAATTTTTTTTTCAAATTTAGTTGCACTATCAGAAGATGGTTGGACAACTCAGATCAACCATCATTTCTTGAGACAAATCTGGACCTCCAGTATGGGAAGGGGGGAGGGGTGTGTGGTGCAGTACAGGACAGTGGAAAAGTTTTGTGCTTTTTGTAAATAACTGTGTTCTGGTCATTGTAACCATTATTTGCTTATCATTACTGATGTGCAATTGCTCTTACGAACATGAATAAGGTCTGTTTCTAAAGCCGTGTGATCAGATGTCATTTGCCAGTCATGTTCTTGCATGGACTACATTTTCTATCATCATGTGGTTTTTCAAATATTTTGAATTTTCTTCATATACAGATAGTCCTTTTTGGGCTGATACTAAGTCCCATGTATTGCATGAATTTGTTGTTGTTTTATGACTGTATATAAATGAAGAGATCTTTAAAATTACTACAGTTAAATACAATTATTATTAAAGAATTTTAAAGGAAAGTGGGTCATTGTTTGTATCATTAATTCAAGACACCCAGAAAGTTCAAATTCAGGCAATGACTTTGATTTGCTTGTATCATTCTTCCAAAGTTGTTTAAAGTCACAGTTGAAAACCCATTTTGGACTTCTAACTGACTTGGACTTTAGACTAAAATCCTTTTGCTTCAATTAACCTATACCTTAATTATCATTCTTTTATTAAAAGAAATTATTAAACATAATATAATAAGAACTGTCACTACCAATACAATAATAACAGCTCCAGAACTTTACCAGATGTTTTGCTAGTGACAATTTTAGCAAATTTTGAGCATAACTCAAAAATGCTAGTCAGTACATGAGTTGCAAACACAGCTTTGAACAGTTGTACACACATAAAATCATAATATTTTTTCATTAAAACACAAAAAGTTGATTGCAGAAAATATGTTTCGGTACTGACAATTCATAGGCTACACCATGATTTTCAGACTTTGGGACACATTTACTTAAAAATATGGGATTAAATTGCTCATCCTGTGGCCATGAGGGACAGGGATGCAGTCTCTCTTCCTGTACTAAAATGCTCTATAGGATTCTATTAGTTTGTTAGCGTTAAGCAAACAGTGATCTGCATTATTGTGTTTTGGCCATTCAAGATTAAACACAGACAATTGAAGCTTCTAAAATATATTCCATGTTTTACTTTAAGTTTGTGACAGACATATTAGCATATATCTTACCTTGTAACAGTTTTTCAGTGACCGTTTTATAGAGAGGCTAGTACAGAGTTGCTGCTGTGGTATTCCATTTCTAACAGCCCACTAAATAAGGCCGCCCCTACTATCCACTGTCAGTGAAGGTATGTAGGACTTCAAAAAGGCCTAGAGTGCTGTCTTATCTCATAAAATTGGTCTCACCTATTGGAAATCGAAATGTGGTTGATTGATACCACTGTCAGTTTGAAATTATGCTGGTGATTAATCTATGGCATTAGAACTTTGCTTCAGCTCTTGAAGGAAAGTTGGATTAGGTAGATATACCTAGATACCACAGAGACAAATAATTCCTGATTGGCTGGATGTTTCAAGAATATAACCCTTCTGTTTCCATCAAAAATTTAATAATGAATCAAGAATACTTGTGGTGTTTAAATACAAGCATGATTATGTTGCATAAACATGAAAAAAAAATTTTACATGTATTTTCTGCTCCAAGAAATCATTAGGCCAGCTCTGAAGGCCTACACAGCCCTGATGGGTTCCGCTCTGGTGATTTCTCATTGAGATTCAAATGAACTGATGTTCTAACTGTACAGCAGGAACAGTGATGTAAAGTGTTTTCAGGTGTTAGTTTATGTTAGCGTTGGGCAGTATTAATCAAATTCAACATCACAATATTTTCCGATATGTATCCTGTTAAGATTATATTTAAATTTGCATCAATGAAGTTCATCAGCTCATGTGTCCTGATTGCTGCTGCTGTATGGTAACAAAATGTCTTACAGCCTTGACATAGCTTGTTTTAATTAGACTGGACCAAAGGGAACCTTACACAGTTGCATTAATATGAACCATTCACAGAAAGTAAACTTTCTATTTATTTAGTTTTTTACAGATTTTACAAATACAGCACCCAGTAAATGACACTCATTGCAGTTAAAGGGGATTTCTTACAAATCTTTTACATATGCTGCTTAATTAAATTGTTTTAAATAAATAAATAAATGGTGCACTATGAAGAAGCTTACAGATGTGGATTTCTTTACAGTGGTAGTAACAGAATCCAGGGGTCTACAACACAAGGTTTATTTATTATCCATAATGACCAGTGAACCTACACGTCTTTTTATGTAATGTTGATAATGATACAAGAGGGGGAAATCTGAAAAAATAAGGGCTCTTTGGGGACTATTTTTTAACTTGCTTGCATGTATGCTTTCGCCATTAATAGATTTTTTTAAATATCTTTTAGGCCAAAAGCTTAACTCAAAATTCTTTTAATGCATATGTCAGGCATCAAGCAGTGTATTCATAACCATTTCATGTAATGAGTTTAGGTGTTGGAGCTTTTAGAGGCATTAAATGTTTCAGACGCCTGGTTTCTATCACTACCACTGTGACCAATGTAGTCATTTTCTCTAGAATGTATTAGATTATAGAATGAGTATTTCACATCAAACCTCTTTAAATGACTCTTTTTACATCATAATCATTTATTTATGAAGAAATTTAGAAAAATTTGTGGAATTTGCATTTAACTGTAAGCGTAATGTGAAATGTGTAAAGTGCAAAAAGTAGAGTATGACTGCTAGGTTAACAGGAACACTGCTGTTTTTGGAGTCATAGATGTCATGCCCATTAGCTATCAAATATACTGCAAAAACTGAAAAGCAACATCACAGAGTGTCAATACTGTACACCATTATAGATGATATATTGGTTAGCACTATAGTTTGAGACAAATAATTGAAAGTCAATTAATAAAAAGTCTTCATCAGGCCAAAGCCCAAGGACCCTGAAGAGGTGGAACAGCCATATTCTGGATGGAGGAAATCACTGGAGGATGTGTATTTGTTTTCAAGATAAAAGTTATTCTGACCTTTAAAACACAAGTGGTGACTTTTTCCATTACAAAACAACATGAATAATTAACCACCACATATAGATTTGGCCTACTTGCTATTTTAGTTGCTACTGATACCCAACCTTTAACTAATGAGTTCAGAGGTTGTGGGTGAGCGGAAGGTCCCAAATCATGAAAAATCGTCCTCTCACTTTTTAAAATAACAGAGTTTAATGTAGTATCTAAACATTATTAAAGTTTCAAAATGCAGTATTCACTCCCCAGTCAGTACAGTCTATGTATGGAAAATAAGCTGCACAACCACTGTTTTGAATTCATTGTTTTTGTGATGTCATGAAACCCAACATATTTACATATATCCTCCTATTCAGCCTACAGCACTTTAGCCCCGCCCCATTCTCAGTGAAGTTATAAGGAGTATTTCAGCGTGGACTGCTTATTGAATGAGGCACAACACAGGGCAGCAAATTAGAATAGAGCTCTTTTATATATATGAAGACCGAATAACAAAAAGGTCTTTTAAGTTGTGAGGGATATTGAAAGGTAATTAATTGACTGTATCTCGTACATAAACCCACAAAACATTTTCTAAACAAATGTTTAGAAAATAAGTCCATTAAATCACAGTTTTGCCTAACAAACATACAGAAATACCTACTTTATCTTTTCAAGCAATATTATTTTTGTAACAACTGGCCTCCTGTCTCCAGGCTGTGATTTCTGAAATCGATCGATATGGATGTATCTTCATTCTAAACTTTATCAATCCACAACGCGTAAAATTATTGTAACTATTTCAACAGAAGATTATAACGCTAAATAATTTAACAGCATCATCATGTATTTGCTAAATTTAAACGAATTAACATTCTGCACAGATGCCCTTTGTCCCACAAGCCCATTGTATACGATAGAGGAAACCCTGTGCCGTACGCACCGCCATCTTGGAAGCAGTCTCTCTCTCTCTCTCTCTCTCTCTGTGTGTGTTCAACTCAGGAAAACCTGCAGATCCCTTCGGGAAGCTCAAGGCGCTGAAATAAACAACACAATCCCTGGTAAGGACATAGAGAGTATTAGTAGAAGCTCGTAATTTTGTCCGACACTACGGTACCGATGGCACGAAAAACGTCTCTCTTGTCCACCTTTCACAGCCTAACATTTGGAGGAACAACACCTGGCTAGCCAGATAGCATAGCTACACCACTAACTTGTCCAGGTAGCTAGCTTTTCAGTTAGCTTTTCAGTTAGCTTAGCTAGACTAGATAGATAGCAAGCTAGCTTAGCTGGTGCAAAGAGAAATTGGTGGGCAGTTTGTGTCGCTAGGAAAAACAGGAAGGAGGTGATGGGACTACACCCAAATGTCCTTATTTTTTGGTCATAACTTACATTCGGTCTGTTATATTTGAGTCAGTATCCGGTCGTATGTATCCAGTTTTATGCCTTAATTGACGGAGTTTGTTATGTTGTAGTATTGGGATGTTTTTATTTTGTTCGGCTTGCTAGCTAGCCGGCTAACGTTAGATAATATTTAGGTTAGCTAACGTTAACGGTTGTTGGTTAAGGCAGAGGCAGAGGGACAGCTATTCAGTTAACATTAACGTTGCGGCAGCCTTGGTTGTCATGAGTGTCATTTAGTGTCCGGTTAATTTATCTGCCATAGCGAGATTATTAATCGGTGCTTGGCAGAGAAACCATTATTATCAGTAGCTAACTTTCTAAAGCATAACGTTACTTTTATTGACGCCACTGCTTCTCTCAGTAAAAGCATTGTGACATTTATAGATAAATGCCTAAACCGACTAATGCAGTGCTGTATGATAAGTGTTATGCTAGTTAGCTAAATAGCTAGGTTAAGTCAGTACCTAGCTACCCCTTTTTTGACTGTCCTGACTAAGCGACTGTCGTACAGTGTTCGTTAGCTTAGGCTAGCTACAGCTAGCTAACTTGGCTCTTGAAACGGGATAACTAGTTTCCACCCAGTGTTGCTTGAGAAATGTAGATAATAGGGTTAAGTGTAAGTGCATTAGATGTCCCATCAGTCTTTGCTCACTGTTAACTATCGTACCAGAACTGTGACAAGTAGGCCCGAGAGAAACCACAGACTCAGTTTCTCGCCAGGTTTATTGTAGACATCTCGCTAATGATCTTTAACGTAAGAGAATGATTCGTCATCTTTACTGGTAGCCTCTATCGATATTTGCCAGATTTCAGTTTCAGATACTCAGTGGCTTATGCTACTGATAAAGTCAGTCTTCTTTGAGGTTGTGTAGGGAAGGGTTGTTGATTTACAGTGCTCCTGATTGTGGGTGTATTGTACTGTTTCTTAATACATTTGGTTAATCTCATTGTTAGTCACTTTAGCACACAGTTCAGTGCCCTTAATAACGACAAGCTATTGCAATCTTTTAATCTATTGAATGTTTGTGTTAAGGGTGTTGAAAGAGAAAACAGTATAGAAAGGCATTTGAGGGAAGATGTAAGGTTTCTGAATCAGAGGAGGGAAGTGCTGAGGCTGCAGTCTGATCACATGCTTTCCTCTGCCTCTCCGTAATGGATGCCCCTAGCCCTGTTCAGGAAGTTCAAAGTGGAAAGAGTTTATATTTTATCAGTTTACAGTGTTGTGGAGTATTTAGTAGAGTTTTCATTCCTTCCTTGCTCTGAGCTCAGATTTATGGTTTGACTTGGATTAGCTGCTGCTCAGGGTGAAGGACGGTGGGTGCATGTCACTTCACTGATGAGATGCTGGAAGGTTTCGAAGGAGAGTGGGAATGTGGCAGTAGATTTGTGCCATGCCTCAGATGTGTTCTAATGAATGCACCTCATGATGTAGGGTCATGTGAGGGGAGGCAATGAAACAGGCTGAGGAGCATTTTAGAGCTTATTCTAGGGACCTTCCGTAAAATAATGTTTGTGGTACCATGTCTGTGACTACATAGGAAGGATTTGAACCAGTGTAACTGTCATAGGCTCAGTTTGTCAGGTTTGTGCATTGCAAGATGAGCTTGTTCATCAGTAGCCTATTATACTTTTCTTAAAATTGATGATAATCTCAAAGACTGGTTTGACGGCTTTACAGTGACACCATTTCTTAGAAAAGCTTGCTGCAGTTCAGTGTGAGATTTCCAAAAAAGACTTTCCACAAAAGTCAGATTTTGCTCTGATGTGTAGCTTCATTGTTTTTCCATGAAATAATATTTAGGCCACTTGGTGTGTTTTAAAGACTCGTTTCTGTGCTTGTGTGGCTTTTTGGGTCATGCAGTAATGTTATAGAACTTATGCTTGTTATTTAGGCCTTGTCCAAAAGCATAGAACACTGTTCAGTCATATTCCAAAGGTTTTCTTTCCAGCTGATGGACGACAGGTCAGATTACTACTGGAAATATAGCTCTTAAGGCGTAACACAATGATATAACCTTTGGGAGTCTGGCTTTTGTCTCCTCTTATTACAGTCTGTGCTGTCTGCTTTCTTGCCTAACAGAATTGGATTAGTGATTCTTGGAATTTTTTTCAGCAGAGTCTGACAGGAGTTCTGTATTGCAAGTGCCGCTCTCTGCCGCTGCTGTTGGCTCTGATTCGTTATTTTGTTATTTATTTAACCTTTATTTAGCCAGGTACAATCCATGAGGTTATAACTTCTTTGGTAATTTAATTGAGTCAACTTAAATGGCCCATATCAGGGAAAAGCATTTTTTTAAACTAAGAAGTTAGAAGTAGTATGTAAACTTTAACATTATAAAATATGCCATTCACTCCCTAGTCTTAGAGTCCAGCTGTTCTGCAAAAACAGTTTGGAAATAATTGATGTGTAGATCTACACATTTACATCCATCCATTTACTTAAAAGTCACAAGGCCACTAGACTGCTTTTTTGAATGAAGCAGCAATCAAAACAAATCTCATTTATGTATATTGGTCGTAAAGACGCAATGACAAAAACAGCCTGTGTAATTCGAAGAGATAAAGATTATGTAAAAATGAATTGCGATCATTTTTGGCACATAAATCCATACAAACATAAGTGGACCGGCGGGAAAATAAAATGAGTTTGGTTGAAGTCTTAATTTATACATAATGCAGTAATAAATTATTTGGGCCACTTAAAAAGTAGTTGTATTAAACAGTGAGGACAATAATCCAGCTAAAAAGATTACACAGAAATGGAACAAAAAAAATCTTGAGTTTCATAGTTTAGTGGACATTACTCATAGCCAGCACATTTTTTGGTGTGGTTATGGATAATTTTGGGATTGTAACCAACTCGGCTTAATCAGTCATGACATTTTTGCCATACCCTCAAAAAGTATATATTTGTGTTGATGCTTAACTGTTGTTAAGCATCATGTATTGAGGCTGTTTACTCTTGCATGAACATGCGTTTACCATGATCGGGTCACATTTTGATCTGATTATGATTGGATCACTCAAACCATATTTGGATTGTATTTGAACACAAATATAAAGCCAAGATACATAATGTTTTATTTTTTTGATCAACTATTTATTTATCTTTATAAACATACATCTGAAACTGATGCCTGCAACGCATTCCAAAAAAGTTGGGAAGGGAACAATTTAAGACTAGGAACATTGTGAAATATTCAAAAAAACATCTTAAACAGGTTTTGCAATCATGCATGGATATATAAGGAGAATCCAGGAAAGGCCTAGTCCTTTATGAGCAAAGATGTGTTGAGGCTCACCACTTTGCCAAAAACGCATCAGCAAAAAATCCAACAGTTTACGAATAACGTTCCTTAATGAGCAATTGCAAGGATTTTAGGTATTTCACCCTCTAAAGTGCGTACTGTCATCAAAAGATTAAGGGAAACGAAACAGCATGTTTCAGTGATGGATATTACCACATGGATCTTTGACAAGCTGCTGTCAGTAAACACTATCTGTCGCTACATCCACAACTGTAAGTTAAGACTGTATTATGCACAGCGTCACAACCATATGTCAAAAGTTTTTAAAAAAATGCTACCGACTTCTCTGGACTCAAGCTCATCTGAAATGGACTGTTGCACAGTGGAAATGTGTATTGTGGTCTGAGTCACCCTTTCAGATTTTTTGTGGAAATAATGAATGCTGCGTTCTCCAGGCCAAAGAAGAAAAGGACCATCCAGATTGTTACCAGCATGAAGTTCAAAAGCCAGGAGCTGTCATGGTGTAGGGTGGCATTTATGGGTAACCTGCACATCTGTGAAAGCACCGTCAACGCTGAACACATTTTGGAGCAACATGTTGCCTTTTAGGCGCCATCTTTTAAGGGACACCCATGCTTATTTCAACACGACAACACCGAGCCACATTGTGCATGTTACAACAGCATGACTATGTAATCAGAGAATGTGGGTGCATGTCTCCCATTGAAAACGTGTGTCCTATTAAGCTCAAAATCAGACAGCGAAGGCCCTGTACGGTTGCAGACTGAAGGCTTGTGTAACAGAAGAATGGCATAACATTCTGCTTTCAAAACTGGATCAGTTTGTGTCTGTAGTCTTTTTTAAACGTTTAGGCTACTAGGTGTTGTTTAAGGAAAGATAACACAGTACTAGACATGTTCCTGTCCCAACGTTTTTGGAATGTGTTGCAAATATCAAATTTGGAATGAACATATATTGACAAAAATTTAATTTTAATACATGTCAAACTGAATTTACGAATTACTGCTTTCTATTTTTATTAGCATTTCACAAACTGTCCTAACTTTTTTAGAATTAGGTTTGTATGTCCACATACTATTACATGAGCGGAAATGCATCTGCTGACTAACCAAACTAACCAGCAAAGCTGAAACCAAGTGCATTTTTACGATTTAAGACATTTAAGCCAAGCTTGTCTGTTTATTTCATATAATGGGAGAAAAAAGTAAACAGAAGTAAATCGGACACCACCAGGATGCCTAGTGCCCCTGGCCACAATGTTTCTGAGTGGCCAAATGCCTTCTCTTTTAAGAAACTATCTGGTTGGAAATGGAACTAATTGCATGAAATCAGATTTTGTCAGAATTCATAACCTGTAACCACCATGGTTACATGGTCCCTCCACTGAGCTGGTCCGCCTGGCGCCGTAGATGCTGTTCCATTAGCTTCACTCTGTGAAGTTAGATCTCAAATAAAATAAAGTGTTAAATAAAAATAAACTGATGATATAGCAAGAGGCTGTCACTGCAGTAGCTTAACAGAACCTCATGACAAACTAGATTGTATGACGTTGGGGCGGACCAGACAGGTGGGGGTTCACCACAACAGCAGTGTTCTTACTAATGTAAAGTTTTTAAAAAATATGTCCTTTTTCAAAGCAACGCCTGATACTTTTTTGGTACTGAAGCATGTTTGTTAATTGTAAATACGATGTATATATAATAAACATGTTTCTGTTATCCTGGCCACAAATTCTTCATTTTGTAAGTAAAAGCAGAGCTCATCTGATTGCACTGGGCACGCAGTGAAAAATGTAACTGTTAATGAAAGGTGTAAATGGCTTCACTGAGTAGATTGCTGAGTAGATTGTTCCTCAAGTGTTTATGCATGTTATGTGCAGCTACAGAGTTGCCTCAGGTACATATTTGAAAGACGGTGAAATGCAGTTAATGGATGCAGTGCAGCTCAACATTAAACCATTGAATCTGTTACACAGTTGAAAACTGTGACATCTACATGCAGGAAAATAGTTAGATTAGCATTTTGACTGTTTGTCCTTTTTTTTTTTCTTCTTTCAGAGCCACAATGGCCACCGCACCGTACAACTACTCCTACATTTTTAAATACATCATCATTGGTGAGTAAGACTGAGAGAACATAGAGGTAATATGTGGGTCAGATGGAGATAACTATATAGGTCCATAGCTAACACTTCATGCACTCTGCTGGCAGCCGGCATTCCATTCATGTTTGATCTCTGATGACTATGCATTCATTACCTTTGCTTCCTTTCAGCTGCCTTCTCTCATCATTAGCTTTCTCACCAGCAGTATCAGAAAGAGGCACTGTATTGTGAAATATTGGCATTATGGCTCTGTGTGGGATATAACCTGTTCCTTCTGTCCTTTCCTCAGGGGATATGGGGGTAGGAAAGTCATGTTTGCTTCACCAGTTTACAGAAAAGAAATGTAAGTATCGCTCTTTCCCCTTTCCCTTCTGAATCAAACTTCATAAGGTGTCTTCATTGATATTTATATGTAAGACAAGTAAGGATAATATTTTTCTAAATTGGTAATTTATGTAGATGCAGCTGTAGATGGTGCTCTTAATAGGCAATGGTGAATAGTGCATGATTGCTCATGTGGAGAACGATGAGGTGTCTGTGTGCCAGAAAATGCTGCAGTTTTTCACTGTAAGAGCCGGTCCTTAAATAAGCGAGCGGAACTGCAGATGCGGCGCTCATCATTCACTGAGGACGCATCCTGCATCATGGTGCACAAGCGATCCATTGAGAGCACGAAACAAACGAGAACTGTGTGGAGGTTCAGGTCTGAAGAGTTGCCTCTCCTCATGTGCACTCTGAAGAGAAAGGCTTGCAGGGTGCAACAGAAGGAGAAAAAGGCATAGAAATTGAGAATTAGTGTGTTAAGTGGTAACCCCAGCTGCTCTAGGGTTTTAGTTCATTTCGCTGAGGCAGAGAGATATTGCTGTTCATTTTCGTTTGGCCTCTTTGTCTTCTTCTGTGGGAGCTGGCACGATCTTGGTGGTGTACGTCTGCAACCCTTTATAGTTACAGAAATATACTCCTTTGAATAAAAATGAACCCAGACATGTCTGTTTATGCAAATGTGCGTGGATGAAGCATTTATGTGTCTCAGTGGGACCATTCTGCTGCATTGGGAGAAAGTGAATTGGAACTGGTAGAATTACTGTGTTAAAGCTTTAAATAAGCAAGTTAATTACAGCTGGAAGGACAGCTCTACCAATGGAGTCAAGTTGGAAGTACCCTGGAATGAGAGAGCCACATGTTGCATTTTATTAGTGTTGATCTCCAACATGGCCTTCAGCTGTCCATGCCGATGAGGCAGCCAGCTGTCTCTTAGCCTGTTATTTGGCTAAATCAATATTTGTCAGCTTGTGTCATTCATTTATATGCATGCATGCAAACTCATCATTTTGAATGATGAACAGGCAGTTCATGTGAATCACAAATACAACACAGCAGCAGTTTACAGTCAATATTAAGCCAACCTACAGATAGGGCTGGGCGATAAAACGATAACGATAATTATCGCGATATAACTTTTCCTCGATAGAGCGATAAGACGGGTTCGATAAATGTTCAATATAATACATCGTTCTCACACTTCCACGTTTTAGCGAAAGCCCTGGTGGCGCTTTCTGCTGCAAGGAAAGCGACACTACTCTGCTGTCGCCAGGAGAGGGCGCACTTCCGAATTTTTCGACTTGATTAGAGAGGGAGGGGGCCACAAGTAAGGGTCGCCAAATATACTTTAGCAACAGCTGAAACGCGGAGTTATACAGTCCCTGTTTGAGTTGAGCGACCGGCGATCTGTTTTCCTGTGACCGAGTGTGAGTGACGAGGTCAGTGGTGTAACTGTACTGTCCTACAGTGAACTCACCTCTTTCCGTGCATCCTAACAACTTTAGCGGTGTTAAATCACGTCTACAGCGCCGTGTTACAGCGCTAAACTGTCATATTTTAGTATTAGTGCATTCTTGAGCAACGAAAGTGAAAGAAAGAAGTGGGTTCATGTTCGAAAGTAAACTGAGGAAGCTGTGAGGCATTGGAGAGCGGGAGAGCGCTGTCTTTCCAGGCTAGCTGTTTTTTAGCTGCTGGCTAACTTGAAGCAGCGCTCCGGCACAACACGGTGAATTGATGATACTGTAAATCAAACGAGACACAAAATCACCGCTTTCAGTTTAAACATGCCTAAAAGGAGGACTCTGTGACTGGTGTGAGAGATTCACACTGCAGATAATGCTTTTACACAGCGAACGTCAGATATACTGCGGTTCACCCCTTAAACTACTAAGATAGCATAGAGAAATCAAGTCGTCGCTAGCTGGTGTCTGAGTACTGTGATATACTCTGACATGGATGTGGTAGGAGTGACAGCAGTGACCTACCGAACCGTAGTTGACGTTGTTGAGAAACTAAAGAGTTTAGCACTGTTGTTGGCCACTTGTTTAGCATTTGTAACGGGGTAGCCAAGTGCTCGTCACCAGACAGCTAAAAAGAATCTGTTTTCTTTCTTAAATCATGACTATTACAAAAATTGCAGCTGTGCTTTTCAAGCTGATAAAAACAGCTCAGAAACTTTCTCCCACTCTCCCATGACAGATTAGTGAAATGTTCCACTGTTTGCCGAGTGTTTGTCATGATCGGACCATGAGTGATAGTTTAAAACTACAATTAACCACCCAGGAGCAAAATCAGCCTTCAAACGTGAAAGAAATCATGATTTGACATTTATCGCGATATGTATCGATATAGAACGATATGAATTTTGTTTATCGTGATAACGTTTTTGGCCATATTGCCCAGCTCTACCTACAGATGAGGTATTTATTTCTTTATGAGCAAATCAGAACTGACAGAATTTTACCAAAACATGAAAACAGCTGTTTTGTGAGCGAAGAAGTTTCATTTTCGCATATTTGTAATCCTTTCTTCAGTAGCTTCATCAATGTTACCAACCAAGACAATCAGCTTCTATTTAATTTTCGCCTGAAAGTGATGCAGAATACATTGATTTCTGTAGATTTTCGTAACTCCTATGAGAGCTTTGCAACCTTCTACAGTTTATGTTACAAATGGTGGCCATCAGGATCCAAGCACAAAGTGCCATTATGGAACCAGTAGAACACAAAAGGTGGGCATAGTTTTTAGAATGGCCTCTATTTATAATAGATGTGGGATCTCCAAAGAAGATGTCTGCAAAACATGTTACAAATTGTTCTTTTTGAACATGGTATGGTAAGCAATAGATTTTTACTAAAAAAAATCAAAAATAACCAAGAAAACTGTAAAAATGTTGGACATGACTCTGTGAACCAAGTAATTCCACAGCACGTACCCCTGTATTTTAGTTTCAATGTACACCATAAGTTTCAGTAACATTCAGTTAACATTTTCTCCTACGAATGATGCCACTGAACCCTGCTATAGTGGATTGGTTTCTGAACTACTTATTTTCTTCATTGCAAGTTTTCATGTCAATATATGTGTATGAATGACGCCAGCCTGGAAAACGGGTTCTCAAACCGTTTGCCAGGCCCCGCCAGACAGTCTACATTTTTGATCTAACAGTTTGCATTGTGTTAGGTTGGAGCCAAAAATATAGACCCTCTGGGGGCCCTGAGGACTGGTTTGAGAACCACTGCATTATTAGGTTGTGTAATGCATCGCATGATTGTTGAATGGTACTGTGCTTTGTCAAGGATGCTTTATAATTGGCACTTAATTTGTTAAAAAAACATGCACATGATGATTTAATTCTAAAGATGTCAGCAAATGCCTCATGAAAAATTGACCATGTGTTTCCAGTGATCCTCCAATTGTCTCCATTCTCAAAGGAGCAATTCTGTCTGTAGACTTTTTAATGAAATACTTTTCATTCAGGATGTGTCTTCAAATCCAAATCCTAAATCGTTTCTTTCCCCACAGTCATGGCAGACTGCCCCCACACGATCGGCGTGGAGTTTGGGACAAGGATAATCGAGGTGAGCGGGCAGAAGATCAAGCTGCAGATCTGGGACACGGCAGGGCAGGAACGTTTCAGGGCCGTCACACGCAGCTACTACAGGGGAGCCGCCGGAGCGCTCATGGTCTACGACATCACCAGGTGTGTTACCTGATCTCACCTCGCTCTGCTTTAGGCCAAAGGTTCCAACTGGAACTGTAATGGAACAAAAAACAAGAAGAACACTACATAGGGTTCCTCTATAGACAACTCTGTAATTCTAACAGACATTTATATATGTTGGCCTCTACTTGGAGCTACATTGAAATTTTTACAATTGTGTTCTTACCCTAAATGTAGTCTCTTTTGGGATGTTTGAAGTTTACTTTTACAGTTTTGTGTTGGACCTACAAGAGCAAATGATAGCTTACACCCCACCAGTCACCCTTGAACAAACTGAACACATAAATCATTACACACATTACACACACAGTGCACACTTCAAGATGGTTGCTACTACTGTTTTTAGTTGTCTGTTTTTATAGATGACAATACAGCACTCCTTCTGATTTCCTCTATTTTTGCATATTTGCCACACTAAATGGTTTCAGATCCTCATACAGAACGTAATATAATACAAGGAGGACGTGAAGAAGCACAAAACAGTTTTTAAATAAGCATTTCATTCTCCCATGTGAAAAAGTAATTGCCCCCAAATGTCACCTGATTGTGCCATTTTTATCAGCATCAATTACAGCCATATGCTTCCAGTAACTGAAGAGCAGTGTTTACATTGATGTGGAGGAACACTCCTCTTTGCAGAGTTCGTTTGATTCAGCCACATTTTGGGCTTTCGAGCATAAACTGCCACAATGTCTCAGTGGGGTTCAAGTAAGAACTTCAAATAAGCCACTCCAAATTCTTAAATTTGTTTCTTGAGCGCTGGACTTGGTCTTGTGCTTCAGATCATGGTCTTGCTGCATAACCCAGTTGCGCATGAGCTTTAGGTCATAGATTGTTGTCCAGACATTTCTCCTGCATGTTTTTCTGTTAGTGAGCAGAAATCATGGCTCTGTCAATTATGGCAAGTTGGCCAGGTCCTGAATCAGCAAAGCATTCCCACCCCATCACACTGCCGCTACCATGTTTGGCTGTTGGTATGATGTTCTTATTGTGGAATGCTGTGTTAGCTTTTTGCAAGATGTAACAGGGCCCCTTCCTTCCAAAAAGTTTCACTTTCAACTCCTCTATCCACAGAACATTAGTCCAAAAGGCTTCATCAAGGTGTTTTTTGGCAAGTGTGAGATGAGCCTTTATGTTTCTCTTATTTGGCAGTGGGTTTCGCCTTGCAACCCTCCCCAGTAGATACCATTTTGCCCAGTCTCTTTCTGATGGTAGAATCAAGAATGTGAGGCTTGCAGTTCCCTAGCTGTTCATCTGGGTTCTTTTGTGACCTCCTGCAGCAATCGTCGCTGTGTTCTTTGACGAATTTTGGTAGGCTGGCCACTTCTGGGAAGATTCACCACTGTTCAGTGTTTTCTCCATGTGGAGGTAGTGGCTCTCACTATCACGCATTGTATATCTGGCTTCAGAGGACAATCAACTAAAGCCCAACCAGCCACTCAAAAGACAGAGAGAAGACACAGACTCCACACGTGAACACCTTGGATGTGATTCCTGCTGACAGTGTGCTACAGTGACTCTTGCTGAAAAGTTCAGATGAAGATCAAAACTACAGAAGTGCTTTTCTGACATGGAACAAAACCTGCTTTTCTCCACTACAGCGCTACTCAATAGCATAGCTAGCTAATACATTTCATTTAAAACCAGCTAGATTTTAATGATTTAACTGTTAAGTTTCATTGCTCTTATTTACACTAACAACTACTTAATTCTAAGTGGGTAACTCAGTATGGTATCGGTGAGTACTAAAAAAAATATGTACATGTACTCAGTCTGAAGAAAAATGGTATCGATGCATCCCTAGATGCAGCCACGCTATGCAATAAATTGTATTCGCGCTCCCCTAGTGGTTTGAGGGAAGTTTTATGTATTCGATTTTTTTTTTTGCCTATTTTTGACTATTACTTTAGATGCATACTTATCCTCAAGTGTTTTTTTAAGGATAATATGAATAAGATCAGTACCACAGATAAATAAGCTGAAGAGAAGTGTTACTTGTTCCCTGCAGCTGTCTGCAAATAATACAACAACTAATGTCCATTCCTCCTTCATGATCTCAGAACAGACGCTGGAGTTGTGTTTTCTGCTTATGAAAATGCTCTAGAAGGCAGCTCTGTACAATGGACATTTTGTAAAGGAAGATTATTGGTTACAGGATATAGTTGAAACTGGTGAATCCAAAACTTTGGGCTAAACCAAAGATTCGCTGCAGCAGCCAGGTTAGTGTCAGCACTGTTTTGATAGGTCACTTGGGGGTCTCTAATGACAGGTGTTTATATGCCATCTGTCTGCAGTGCTCTGCTGGTGCGCTTTGTGTCCTTGACTGCTGTCATGACAACCAGTGTTCTTTCTCTTTCTGTGTGTATACAACAGGAGAAGCACATATAACCACCTCAGCAGCTGGCTTACTGATGCCAGGAACCTCACCAACCCTAATACTGTGAGTAGACAGCCAGGGCCGCCTTTGTTTTGCTGAGTGGAACAACACTGTGATTAAATTTAGTGATTAAATATCATTGTTATGGTGTTTCATTCTCAACCATGAATGTCTTCAGATTCAACCAGTCATTGTCAGGCTATTTATTTTTGGACATGAAAGTAAAATTTTGTGTGTGTGTCTGTCAGGTGATCATTCTCATAGGCAACAAAGCAGACCTGGAGGCCCAGCGAGATGTGACGTATGAAGAAGCCAAACAGTTTGCTGAGGAGAATGGTGAGATGGGTTATGCCAGGCGCAGCTGTCTTTACTATTTCAAAGCAGCACTGAGCATAAAATAAACTATGTCCAAAAGCATCCAGATTCATCTACTTTAAGAAGCACCCATTACCGACACATGTACTCAGTTGCACACCTGGCTTGTAAAATCTCCATAGAAGAGCACTGCCAATAGAATGGGATGCTCTGGAGCAGCCATACATGTGTCTACGGTCACAATTCCTAATGCAAAGCACTGAATAGAAGCAAAAAAGCCCCTCAGCTGTGGAACAGTGCTCTGAAACAATGGGCTACCATCCAGTACCTTTTGGGATGATTTGGATTGGCATTTGTGATCCAGAACTAATAATCCAACATCAGTGCTGATACTAATGCTCTTGAGGCTGAATGCAGTCAAATGCTCACAGCAGTGTTCAAACATCTAGTGTAAAGCCTTCCCAGAAGAGTAGAGGCTTTTACCATGGCAAAAAGGGAACAAACTCCCTATTAATGTTCTTAATTTTAGAAGAAATGTTGGATGAGAAGGCATCTAGAAACATTTGGACATACAGTGTATAAATGACTATGATTGAATATGTTGCAACTTAACAGCTTCCTGAAAAAGGAAAAAAAAAGTGCTATACAGAATTGCTGGTTTTACTGATGTCTGTCCTTTGTTCTGCAGGTCTGCTATTCCTGGAAGCCAGTGCAAAAACGTAAGTTGACAGTACCGAGAATAACTGTGGTGTTTTGCGTGAGATGAGAGCTGATTTTTTTAGTTCAGCCCAAAGCTGTCTTTGTTCTCATATGCAGATTTGATGGTTCGTCCAAAAAAATCAGATTCACAGTTTTTGTTCCTTTTCACAAATGTAGTCGATAAGCCAAGGCATGTTTAGTATCCAAAGTTTGCTACTTTTCACTGCAGCTAATGTAGCCAACAACTATATATAACCTTACAGCCAAAGATTAAGATTATGCAAACTGCATGCCTAAATCAATTACTTTAAATCTTAATGAGTTGTCAAGTAATCTCAAATAGGTGGACACTGGTTTGCTGTTTTAGTGTGTCTGTCTGTAATTTCCCATTACTTTTTGCTACATAGCCCCAGAGCAAGACTAAAGAAACAAACATGCCCTGGCTGGTCAACTACATCTGGATTCAAGCGGAAATTGTGTAATTCTGACTTTTGGCTTTAGCCATTGCTTTAATGAGCTGGGGTTGAACATGCCCTCTCAGGAGGGTGTATCTCCTTGGGAGCCACTGCTGCTGTGACTGTAAGGGACCATTTCTAGTTGTCTTACCTTGTCTTACCTGTGTCTGTCTCTGACAGAGGGGAAAATGTGGAGGATGCTTTTCTGGAAGCGGCAAAAAAGATCTACCAAAACATTCAGGATGGCAGCCTTGACCTGAATGCAGCTGAATCAGGGGTCCAACACAAGCCCTCTGCGCCTCAGGGTGGCCGGCTAACCAGCGAACCACAACCTCAGAGGGAAGGATGCGGCTGCTAATGACCAGCACCACCTGCCTGCCTGCCTACCTATCCTACCCAGCACCAACCCCAAACCTTCTCCGCATCTACTACTCCTCTTTTATTATCCCATTTGGGCCTCAGTCCGCCCTGTCCTGACCTGCAGGGGAGCACGAGCAGGGGCCGACAAGGGAGGAAACAACGGACAGGCTTGGCTGTTTATCCTCTCCTTCCCTTTCATCTCTCTCACTCTCACCTGTTTGTCTACCCCCATTGGTCTTCTCCCTCCCTGTCATGCTCTGACTATACCCGTCACTGTTCACTATCCATGGATACATCACGTGGTACAGACCTGTTAAAGGAAGAACAGAGGTCATTGACTGTCTGAGAGACAGCTGAGAGAACCAAGCAGGTTATTTTTTATTCATTTATTTTATAGCTCAATAATTTACACATCAGTTTTCTTCATGAGATTCTGAGAATCCAGAGCATCATAGGAAGTAGTGCTCGGTTTATGTCTCTCCCCCGCATGGTTTAGTTTATTGTTATTCAAGAAAATGAGAATTAGATTCTCCCGAACTCAATAATGACGTTCAGCCTTCAGTGTCGAGGGATAGAGATGTTTGTATATTCATGTATGGCAGCCACAGGAGAATGCTGTGGCATGTAATAGTTGACTGTTCATTTTAAGGCATTTGAAAGTGTGTACGAGGGACCAAGTGAAAGCAGCGTGAGCTGGTGTTGGTCAACGAGAATTCTTATCTGTGGTCCACACTGTCAAGTAGTCCGGAAGGGCCTGTAACTCTGAGAGAACATCCAGTCAGAATCTCAAAACAGTGCCTCCAAATGCTGAAGATCCTGACAACGCTGAATTGTTGCGAAACAGCCACCTCAACACCTGAATACAGCTTCTCAACAAGAGGGAGAACATGATAGAAAAGGTTATGGGGCAAATCTGCAGTAATGTAATCTTGTACGTATGGATGAATAGGTGGATGGGTTGGGTGGGAGGGGGGACAAACTCATTGCGTTTGCTAGTTCTTGGGGGTCATGGGGGGATGGAGTCTTCTCACTCAGATAATGACACTTTAATGAAAGACACCTCCCCCCACCCTGCATTTTACATGACTTTTTTTTTTTGACTATTTGTTTCATTGCACCAACCCCTCCTCCACCTGTTATCCCTTCTTCTCAACCATATCAGTTAGAACTCCATCTGTCCTTACCAGCATTTTTTGTTGTTGTTGCCTTATTGTTATGATTAATGTTAATATTATTACCATCACTGTTTAATCTTACTTTGTTGCGCTTGCTCTACATACTGCAGATTGGACTTCTTTCTGTCAAAATAAAACATACTGTTTTACAATATCGCTACATTTTATTTTAGCTCTTGGAGAAGAGTGTGACAGGAAAAAGTTCTAGTGAACGCTGTGTGATAGACGTGCTTGTCTCGCATTCTGGCTGTAAATTTGACTGGCTGCTGTCATATAGGCTTGTATAATAACACAGCAAAGCGCAAACCCCAAATCCCACCAAACCAGCTTCCGCTGCAGTGTTAGAATGGGGAATCTGACTCATGTACCATTATAAAATACTTCGTATTCAGCAGCTGTATATATGGCTAAATATCTGTTGGTGATAATGCAAGACAGACAGCAGCACTGACTCCAATGTACAGCTGTTATGAGTCACTGGTAACTCTTGCCTAGGAAATTCTTTAACATTTTCTATGACTAATTGTGTGCGTGCGTGGACAGACTCTTTCTGTGCTGAGTGTTCTATTGAGATTCCACTATGCACCTGTTCTCTGGCTAGAAGTAGTAGCAGACTCAGAAAGCAGGGATTGGTGCAGCACTCAATTTGTATCCCAATTGAAACCTGGCTTATATGTGACAAAATGTGTCTGTCCATCTCCTCACTGAACTCTTATGCCCAAAGTTCTTGTTTAGGAGGAGGTTGTGCTGTCTGGTAACAGGAGTGGTTGAGAGTTTGGTTTTAGGGTGGAGTCCTCCTTGTGCTCTGTCCATTTCTTTGCTGTCCGAATGACCACTTCTATATGTTCACATAAGTTTAAAACGTATGTATAAATTTATACATATGTATAAAATCTGAAGGAGCTGTGCTAACATTTAAAATGCGTTCTTGCGTGTATATGATTTTAAAATGTTGACATTTTGATTTTAATAATGATAATAAAATGTTCTAGACAGAAAACATTCTACTGGATCTACTGAGTGTGACTTTTTTGTGCTATAGCTCAGGCTTGGGCAGTACTGTATTGCTAACATCAACATCAACTGGATTCTTAACATTCACCTTACTGTCCACCCTGTAACTGCAACAACTGTTCATGCTGCTCAGAGCAACACTTAATGCTGGAAGTATAAATATGCTGCAAAGTACAACACTATGCATCATGATTCCTATTTCAGACACAATTCTCACTGTAAGAATTCACTCTTTGGCAAACTTCTCACTTGTATAATTACCTAAAGGGGAATTCCACATTTTTTTGTAATTTTCTGCATAATGCAATTGCTGAGATGTAAACCAAGTCATTCAGAGTGGTTTGGTGTTAAAATGTACAATGTGGAAAAACTGTCTCTGATTTCTTTACAGTGGTGATGAATCAAGGGTCACAATGTCTACAAAACAAATATAGCCATTTAATATACTATCCAAAACCACAATGAATCTGCATGTGTCTGAGTTTTTGTATGTAATGTTGATAATGGTGAACAACTGATAAATAATAAGAAAAAAAAATCGTTGGGGACTGTTTTGCCTTTTAATGCCCTGCATGTACCTCTCCGCTGCAAATGCATAAAAAATGTTTTAAGCCAAAACCTTATATACATACAGCCGATGTATTTAGAACCAGTCCATCTATTAACATCCCATGAGAGAGCTTTTACAGGCTTTAAACTCATCAGGCATCTAGTTCCTATCCAGTTTCTCTAGAATGGAATATTTCACATCAAACCATTCTCAATTACTTTGTTTATATCTTAAGCAATTGATTATGCAGACATTAAAAAAAAAATATTCAGTGGAACTCCACCTTAAATATTGAATGAAATTGTGATGTGTAAGCCCTAGAACTACTGCCGTTTCTCAGTGAAAATCAGTGAAAATCAGTTGATTTTTCCAGTACAGATTACCCATTAACAAAAACTGCGATCTTTCAAGTAGCAAAATTGCTTTGTATTTTATGCAACAAATTGCACCATGGTTACAGGGAGGGAAAAAGAAAAAGAGTAAGAAATGTGTATTTACAAAGGGCGAGCATATTAGTGTACAAAACTGTGGTGCTCGCGTACAAAAGAGAAAAGAGTAGTGGCATGATTTTTATGACCAAAACAACAAAACAAAACAAAAAAAACAAAAAAAAACAGACATCAACATTGGCAGTACCATGTTGAAACAAAGGCAGCTTGTGGTTGGCTTCATCCTCAAGCATCGCAGTCAGAGGGCTAAGTGTTGGAAATGCTAACACTAATACTGTAAAACAATTGTATTATTTCAACAATACAAGTAAAAACAAAAACAAATGTTTTAGTATGAGTTTCTGACTTAGCAGTGAAGGTTCATTGGTTTGTTAAGCAGATCATTTTCTTAGAGCTCAATACATCAATCCTTACTATTAACAATGACGTTTATAAGACAAGTGATGGTGCTGCTGAACCATGAGACTTGCTGCAGAAGACCTCAAGGGACATCCTTGATGTTAAAGTGATTATAATCCTTAAAGCCTTTTGGCAGTTCTGAGAGTGGTGTCCAGAGCATTATGAAATGACATCATGAGTGGTGGCTGGCGTTCCTTTCAAAACATTATATGAAATAAAACATTCAGTTCCATAGGTTCTTGCCTTGCTGGTCTTAGTTACTAGTCTTTCTCCAGCTGCTGGAGACAGTAGTGTTCAGAATCATCCATGTCCATTACCGTAGACGAATGCATAATTTATAAAGTTCAGTCATACATATATATATTTTTTTTTCCCTAAGCTGTGTTGCTGATTCTTGGTGAGACAGTCTGTAAGAGCGACTGCATGTGATTCAAGCAATAGCAATTAAGGCACGCTTGTTCCATAGTCTAGTGGCACAGTGAAAAGAACCACACTAATCTGGAATCTTCATGGCACAGTGTTATATCCATAATACTTAAAACTGGGCTCAATATGAACAACCATTCCTCACATCATGGGACCATTCACATCACTCACCAAAGCCCTTTACAACATTTGCAACCACAAGAAAGAAATGAAAAGCCTAGATAGGGAGCAAAAGTCTAGAAGAAAGCTGCATGTCTCAGCCATACGTACGGTCTTTATCAAAACCATGTTTATTGTGTAATTAAAATGGATCTATCATGATCCCTAGAAAATTGGATTTATCTTGATCCCAGTAAAGTGGGAGCCAGGTGATACGGCATATGAGGTTTGACTTTTTGATACTGTCACTGGCAATGTGAAAGAAGGCACATTAAGAAACATTAAGAGATAAGAAGTGGAATTAAGGATCCAACTGTTCTCAAGTAACTAAGACACGGGCTTGGACCTTTTCAAGAAGGCCAAACTGAATCGCATTCATATTTCAAGATTCTTTGAGGACAAAACCCTACAGGCATTCGGGTTCCTTTGAAATCTGTGCACAGTAACAAGACACTTTTTGTGAGTCCTCCAGTATTTTGTGAAAGCAAGAGGTGATTTCAGTCTGTTTAGTGTAAATAAAGTATATAGCATGTCACAGCCATTCAGAAAAAGCTTCCCCGCTTTAGATCTGTTTTGATGAGATCATTAATCTGTTGGTTACCACAAAGAGGGAAAAAAAACAAAAGAAATAGCGTAGGATTCAGGCACTTCCGCTACCTCTGGACAATGTCACTGATCTCCTTGACCGAGGAGAGCAGCTTGGTGAAGTCCTGTGGTGTGTTGGCACCCCCAGTGGCTGTAGGGCAGATCTGCAGCTCCCTCAGGCTGCTCTCCAACTTGTTGATGGCCTCGCGAAAGGCAAACTTGTTTCTCATCTGCTGTATGGACTCCACGTAGCTCACGCAGTACTTGGACAGGTTCTTTCCAGCCTCCAAGACTGCACTGTGACTGCCCATTTGCTCAGAGTTCCTACTAATAGCAGCACGCAGGAGCTCCGTGCTCTCCAGGACCATCTCCCGGGTGATGGCCGAGTTGGAGATGCGTTCGGTCGGCTGACGGGTTTTTCGCAAGGAGCGGCGGGTATTCATGAGAGGGATGAAAGCCGTGGCCGACGCTTGATCACCAACAGGAGAGCTTGACCCTACTCCCAGTGGTGGACTAGTAGGGGAAGTCGAAGAGGTCCTTGACGACTGTCCTTTCGAGGTGGCAAGTTTTTTGGTGCCTTCCTGAGATGCGAGGGGCTTTCCTTGTTCAACCGAGCCAGAGCTTGAGGGGCTTACGTCAGGAGTGCCTTTGACTTTAGAGTCAGAGGACAGGTCTTGAGTGGGGCTCCTCGAAATCCTTCCAGATTTGACGCTCGAAGGTGGCGGCGGAGGAGCTGGCTTGGGTTTTGAAAATTTCCCCCTATCCCTCTCCCTCTGAGCAGAAAGGTCTAGAGGTTGTTTGTGTCTGCGTGCTCTGCATTCCTCTCCAGCTGCCCCAACTGCAGGGAATGCGCTGGACTTGAGCAGGTCAGCTTGCAGGGCACTCGTTTTTGAGTTGTCACTCTGCGCTTGTGCCCGATGACCCAGCTTGGGGGTTAAGGTTTGGGGGCTTGATCCCGGACTAGATTCAGCATCCTTGAAAACATCATCCGAAGCATCTTCAGTCTTCTTGGGCAGGCGTGGGGGTGGAGTGAGCGTTCCGCCACGTGGGGCGTTCTCTGGTTTGACCTCATTTGCCCTCTTTCGAGGCAGGGCGGGCTTGCCCCCCAAGGTACCTGAATCAAAGTGGCGAGGCTGCAGGTCACGGGGGAGCGTGACTGACTTCCATTCTGTACGGTCAGGCCCTGGAGGCATGCTGGAAGCAGAAGAGGACCTCAGGAAGCGCTTGGAGTTGGATGTCATGAAATCTTCCTCGCTGGGGGGTGTTGTGGCCATCTTCCCACCAGCGCCAGGAGTTGCTGGTGTGACCTTTTTCCGTGGTTGCGAAGAGAAGATCTGACCAGGATATGTGGGGGCTCCATTGGTGACACCTCCAGCTCCATTATTATTGGAACAAAGGAATTTTAAATGATCCATGCCTAGATTGGCATCAGTAATCGGGGAGCCATTGTTGAAATCCTCCCTAGCGTCAGCGCCCAAGCCCCTGGGGTCAAGGTGCCGGTCTTCTTTAAAGGAGCTGCTACGTTTTGGAGGAGCAGGGGCAGTTTTCTTCTTCTTTTTGATCAAGTTGAAGGGGTTAAGGCTGCTCTTAGACTTGTCCTTGGGCAGCAGTCTATCATCCTCATTTAGGTTGCTATCTACCAAAGGCCTCTCCTTTCGTGGAAGCATTGGTGATATGGCTACTTCTGCGTCAGCAGCATCTGGTAATAATACACACACATCAAAACAATATAACCACTTGTTAGCTGTAGGCTACTCTTGTATACTGCTTATTTGTTTGTGTTTTATTTGTTAGAGACACTGTGATGTCAAAATTTCCAACTTTAAAAACAAATTTAAGAATATACAATTTTTGATCTTCTCCAGAATTTGATTACAACAGTGCATGATACCGATGGCATACTCACCAGGGCTGTCCCCATCTTTGTCCATGTTTCTACGTAGTGTTCTGGTTTTGGTAGGCAGCTCCGGGGCCTGCTGTATAGTGCCAAGCGTCAGCTTCTTACCTTTTTTCCCCAATTCTTTCTCCACCTCTACCAAAGGTAAAGAACATGATGTTAGTCAGGAAAATTGTCTATTATACACTGGAACAAAGCAAACACAAAGTATGGTTACTCTGTAGTTAGAGATGTTTATTTACCATCTGAGATGCTGGATTCCTGAAACATTGTTTCAAAAGCTTGATGGGTCTCAGCAAAGGATGGCCTCTCTGCTGGGTTCCATTTCCAACCTATTAGCCAAAGACCAGGTCAGTGCAACAGAAAAGCAGCTTAAGATAACACTAAGTGCTATACTGCAATAAATAACTATGTTGCCTCAAAAGTGGCAATATCTAATGGTCGTTACTCACAGGCTCTCATAAGTTCGTAGACCTTTTCCGGGCATCCCTCAGGTCTGTCCATTCGGTAGTCTTTTTCTAATAGCTCATATACCTGCGACAAATCAATCCCAGGGTATGGGGACATCCCATAGGTGGCAATCTCCCACAGCAGAACTCCAAAAGCTGAGGCACAGGCAGAACAATAAGGACTTAGCAAGTGCACATAATTCCAGTTGTTTAAATAAGTTCAACAGTTATTTCATGGCACCTTGACAACAGTAGGTATCTTGCAGCATGCTACTGCAATTAATTTAAAAGAATTTCATCTTCTTACCCCATACATCTGACTTGATAGAGAATTTATTGTACGCCAGGCTCTCTGGCGCAGTCCATTTAATAGGAAACTTGGCTCCAGCATGGGCTGTGTATGTGTCCCCCGTCATCAGACGACTCAAGCCAAAATCTGCCACCTTCACCAAATGGTTCTCCCCAACCAAGCAGTTGCGGGCAGCCAAGTCCCTGAAGGAGGAATGCAAAATGGTATCTGTTAATTTCATATGAAGATTTCCATGAGAACAGTAACAGATTGAATGCTTTTTGGTACTGTCAATTCAGTTCAGTTCAAGTTCATTTATACAGCACTTTTTACAACTGTCCCAAGCAGCTTTACAAGGATTGGATTGGAGCTCATCTATTGTCAAGCTATTACGAAAATTATATAACAAGAGCACTCCGGTGAAATTTAGTGTTATTGCCAGAAAGCTGTCAAACTAAAAACTTTATTATATTAAAGGAATGCGTAACTGAATAAGACAATGTGTACACATGGAAACAGAAAAAAATATACTATGTTATTAAATACAAGCTGTTATTGACAAAGGCCTTGGTAAACATGCTTTTAACATGTCTCAACTTGAAGGGATCTGGTTTTCGGTCAGTACCTGTGGATGAAGTTCTTCTTCTCCAAGTACTCCATAGCAGAGGAGATCTGAGTGGCCATGTAGAGCAGCACCACAGCGTTCACCTCCTCACGGTTACACTCACGCAGGTAGTCCAGCAGGTTACCATGGGTCATAAACTCTGTGATGATGTAGAAAGGAGGCTCCCGTGTACACACACCTAAGACAGAGAGGTTCGTATATGCTAGCGCTCGTTGACTTTTATAAAAGGTAGTCAAATAATGAACAAAAATATAAAAAAAATCTTATTTGTAAACACTGGTAACTGAACAGGTTTTTTCTTTCAATCTAACTAAAGTATTGTAAAGTATCTGATGCCATTTGGTTTCCAATCTAGCATTCATTAAAGACTAAATCAGATAGTTAAGCTTATGACTCTATTCTCCTCAAGACTAGACTCACCTAATAGCTGAACCAGATTGGGATGCTTGATTTCTTTCATGACAGCAGCCTCCTTCAGGAACTCTTCTACCTCCATTGTGTCTTCCTACAGGACAAAGGAAAAGGAGAAAGCAAAAGTTAGTCCTGCTCAAACAAGCAGTGCTGCCAGGAAGACGTATTACATCCATGGGGACAGTCTAGTATCATTTTAGATGTGTTTTGTATACGCTCTTATACATATTTATAACTCACTATTATAGCTATGCTTGGACAAAAACACTGTGTTCCATGCATACATTTGCAAAAGAACACAGGCATACTAACTTTTAGTGTTTTCACAGCAACAGTGAGATTGTACTTCTTCCAGACTCCCTCGTACACTTCGCCATACTGGCCTCCACCCAGCTTGTGTTTCATAGTAATGTCTGTGCGCTCCATCTCCCACTTGTCGTAGTTGGGTGAAACCCCGTAGATTGTGGGCTTGTTGCGTTTAGGTGCTGGATAGTGTAGCGTCGTGATGAGGCCATCCGCCACAGTGGAATGGTGATGGACCAACTCAGCCAGCGTGTTGAAGCGGCTCTCCGAAGACACGTATAGCTGTGCAGGGATGAGGTGGAGGAGATAAGAAAATCAAAAGGCCTGACTTGTTTTGTGATATAATTGGCAAGGATTATTATTGGTGCACGTTATAGTGAGCAAATCTTTTCTGAACAACATTGGTCTGAGAAATCTTTAAAAAAAATAAATAAATAAATAAATAAATAAATAAATTGAAAAATCAGTTAGTAATTGCATTTGTATGTATGGCAAAAAAAATAAAGGAAAGACTCAATACTGGCATAATGATGATTATATTTAAACATTAACAGAGAATACTGGATTCAAATAACATACACAAAAGAAAATGCTTGAAAATGGTTCTATAGCACCAAAAAGGGTTCTGCTATTGTTATGATGTCAAGTTTGTAACAATAGAAGAACCCTTTTGGTGCTGTATAGAACTGTTTTCTAAAAGGTTCTATATAGTACTGTATACAGCACATTCCCTATCAATCTGAAGCACCATTTCACCATGCAAAGAAGCATTTTAGCACAAAATGGCTCTATATTAAACTCGTGGTTCTAAACAGCGTGCCAGACGTTAATATTTTCTTTGATTTTTTATTTTATTTACAATTTCTGGTCTGTGGAGTGAAGTAACAGCACAGTGTTTTTTTTAAAAAAAGGAAAACTCAGTGACAAAAAGTGTTTAAAAACTACTAAACAAAGAACTGCGTTTTGTCCCTGATGTGTCTCATCTGTTCAGATTCAAAAGGTAAAACTGTTAAGCATCAGCGCCACTGCAAAAACAATCACTTCGAATTAACCTACTGAAAAAACAGTTCTGAGGACAAATAAAATAAACCCAAGGCTCAACCTAAAAGCTCTTCCAGAGTACTTGTCCATTCCCTGACAGCACAAGAGTGTGAAATTCTCATTAATAATAGCCTTTATAATTTATTTTAATTTTATTTTGAACTAATTTATTTTTACAAAATGAGGACAAGTACTTAAGATTTTTAAAACTTTTTAAGAATCTTTTCTTCCAAAAAGATTTTCAATTTTCCAATAGCAGATACTCATACAATTTTAAACTGAGATCAGCACAAAATGATCATAAAATTACAAAAAATATGTACAAAAAAAAGAAACAGTTTATTAAAACATATATGATGTGTCTTATTTCATTTTATTATTGGCAAGTAAGCAAGAAATTTGATGTAACTGGACCTACCCAAGTTTTAGTTGAATACCCCTGGTCTATACTTACATAACAGCACTGGTATCACGCCGCAGTATTCAGAGATGGTGTGATACAATTTTTTTTTTCCCCCAATACGGACAATGAAACCATCATCTGGAACTGATCCAAATTTTTAAAACAGAAACTACTATGCTTTAAAATTATAACATTTACATGTTTATATATATTTATATATTAAAAGTACCGTCCTTACTGTTTCTATGTGAAATGATCATGTGGCTACTGATATTATAACAGGATTTATTTTCCTTTGTGGTACTAGAAGCAATCCTGTGCCATTTCAGGTTAGATTTGATATCGGCCCAATACCAATACCCAGACATCTCTAATACTGATAGAGACTGTTAGACTTAGCATTATTGATAGATGGCCAAAACTTTGTTATTTGCAGTTATTTACTACATGCTTAAGATTGTTTTGAAGGAACTGTTCAAAATACAGAAAACTAAATCAATACCAAGTTTCCTTTCTGGAAATCCAGTTTCCGTCTTTTAACATTTACAGTACTGTGTAAGGCTCTTTTTTGTGTCATTTTAAAATAGTTTAAAATATCATCTGATACTGTAATAGTGAGATATATTTGGAAAAACCTGATTTTTCATTAATACCACCCAGCACTTCTTGATGGTGAAGTGCCTGAAATTATCTGGATGGTCAATATAAGCCTTAAAAGCATATAATTCAATAAATCAAGACAGAATCTAGGCTATTCAATCTACTTAATTAACCAGTTTGGTCAGAAAACAGGTGACTGCTTAAAGCTCAGCTTGTCTTGTGGGGTTCAGAGTTTGAGTTGAAGAGGGGAAGCACGTCCTCTTTTCACGAAATGAACCCAAAAGCCACCACAGGCATCTTTCTCGTGCATGCCATTCCACAGCTTCACCTCAGATCACTGAGAAATGTGGGACTACAGTGGACAGGACGTGCTCCCCCACCGCTGTCCAGCTGGACTAGGGGGCTGGCAGCCTTGGGCCGGGAGTGCATCATGCACACAGCCAGGGAGTATTAAAAAAGCATTCTCCAGGGGTGATTTAACTCCGCTGTAGAATCTGTCTGGCCTTCCCACAGTTTAACGGGCCAGAGGAGTTTGCTTGGAATGGGTGGTTTGGTGTGTGCAGCAAGGTATCTAACGCTGAGCGCTCTCAGAGGGAAACACAGAAACTAAAGTCTGCTGGCAAAATGTACAATCACAACTAAACTGATGCTTTTAAAGGGTGCAAACCGATGCTCTTAAAGGGTGCATCACACTGGGAAGAATCTGGAGCTGTAAAATTAATGGGGAACTCTAATATACAACAAGCGATTCAAAACGTTAAGAGTTTTCCAAATTTAGCTTAAGCCTAATGTTGGATAGTGATAAGCATTAAAGGGTTTAACTTTGGCAATAAAATGTGTCCAGTATCTGGATGCTGTCTATATTTGCATTTAAAAGGCAAGAGAAATCATGTTTGTGTTTGGCACATGTTTGAATCTAAGTGTCTTGATCTACAGGTAGTTGAGCACGCATTGAGATCGGCTGTATGAGTGTGTAAACACAACAAGACTAGCTAGGCTACATTTGTGGTCTAAAATTACATGCGTCCCATGCACCGCTTTTAATTCGTTGCCGCCTCTCTTATTAAATACACTCTTTTAGGTGTCTGTAAGTGTTCTGAAACACAGACTTACAAACATGAAATTTGAAATGGCATTTGTCGGCTGTAAAGAACAGCACACATTTCTGTCACCAATCCTGACTGTATTTTAATGCATATTTTTCTTTCAACTGTACCTCAGTGGTGGTTGCTATGCAAAATGATCACTGCTATCTTTCCCTGTAGCTTAAAATACCTGGAACACTCTGTACAACAAAACAAAATGTTTTATAAAGCACTAGACAGAGCACAACTTATACCGGCTCCGCCTAATCTGCGCTGATGCCACAGCAATCTGATTTAAAAACATAAATACTGAGTGGGGAAATGAGGTCCAATCAATATATGACTACAGAAAGTACATTTTAGAGGGGCAAATGTAAATGTCCTGTTTCTTGATTGGATGATGATCCAATCACCACAATCGGATGTTAAAGTCAAGTGTAAAGAAGGCCATTGTTATACATTGTCAGATAGAGATTACTTGACATATCAACACAATCTTAGACAAGGAAGTGATTTAGGCATGCTAAGCCTCCATTACTCATTAGCTACTTTAGTCTCGTACTTCTGGTGCAAAACTGAAGAAGCAAACATTTGACAGCAATCTATCTTGGCTAATCAGCTACATTTAGAGTAAGGGGAAAATTGTGTCAATGTTTTAAACCTTTTTTTTTTAAGCTAGTCACACAGGGGGTCAAATGAAGATATCTGGTATTTATTGTATAGTCAGCTGGCCATACTATTGCAATTGTCAGCTCCATGCTCATTGACCACATGCCAGTGCCATTGACCACAATGCCATAAGCACTTCCTTGCACCATTCATCAGTCTGATCAGAAAAAAAAAAAAAGTTATTCTACAATTGTCTGAAGCATTTAAGTAGAATTTAAGCCAAACATCCTTATGTTTGCCAACACATACAAATTTGTTGCATACAGCTGTAATTTGAGAATCGCCTGACTCTACACGTCATGGAAAAACTAGAGTTCGTTGTTGGTCATTTTGCAGGGTCAGTCAAATGACCCTGTATATAGTTCTTTACCATGTTGAAGGATGAAACACCAGACTTTGTCAACAATCAAACAACTTGAATGTCTCAAACAAGCCAAGAGCTCACCACTCAAGGTACAGAATGCCTACTCATGTTCTTACCTTGCCATCAGAGGCAGTGTTGATGCGGTAGTGGTAGACCCGACCTTCATAGCGCAGTGAGATGGACCTCTGGCCTGGGCTGCTTTCACTGTCCCGCACCAGGAAGCTACCATTGATGCCACTGCTGAGCAGGTATTCGGCAGCATTGCGCGATACCGGCCCGTGGTACCAGCTGTGTTTCTCCAGGCTGTTAACTGGAGTAATGTAGTTGCTGGGCACCCAGCCCTGGCCATTCTTGGTCTGCGCCTCACACCACTCCCCATTGTGATTGTAGCCCAACACTCGGAGCTTCTCTCCTGAGAAACCAGAGAATTGCACCATTGCATTATGTGGCGTTACATGACAGCATTGCTCCTCCTTCAGCTTTCAAAACACACAGGATATTAGGTTTGAACAAAGTGATTGTTAAAGCCTTCTGATATGCTGTGACTTCACATGATGTCATGTAGAAGTGGGTGTCAGAGCAATTTTACTCAGTGATTACTCAGAAACGGTTATGCATGTAGGCCTATTAAACGTAGAAATTAACTGATTAAATACAAAATGCCTTAAGATTTACTTTTTTCTTGCTCATTGCTTACTACTGACCTAAAAAGTTGGTTCTAGAGATGTAAAGGACTGAAGATACTATTTCATTTAAACACTATTACTGTCAGCTAACTTAGGCTGAACCTGCACCGACTACATACTTTATTACACAGCATCTATATTAGCTAAATCTTTAGTACCTTTACATCAGCCATGTTAACAACTTTTCAAACATGTTTAAAAAAATACCAGAAAATAGCACATATATCTGTTTGGTCCTCAACAACCTGATTGGCAATTGGCCAATTCATTATGTTGATGTTGGCAGATCTGTGTTGCAGTTTAGTGGCATTCATTATGTGAGTGAGGCAAGTGCATTCGCTCTGTCGCTGAATGCTGCTGCTACACCTATAACAAATGTCAGAGCATTAATTATATATGACTCATTGCACTAAACAGCTAGCTGCCTCTTACTTCTGATGTAGCATTTCATTTGTTATTTGAACATGCAACTGATTCCCATTTACAGTTTGGCCCATTAAAATATCCCACATATCACACACAATTTTATTTCCATTGTGGCTTTAGCTAATAGAAAGTACTGGAAATGTGCTAGCGTGTGTCATGTGTTCACTTAGCCCAAGAAGTGTGAACTTTTGCTTAGAATGGTTGCTAGAAATTGACCAAAAATTTGGATATTGGCCAATCTGACTGTACAGAAATTTTATTCGGCCATCCATAATTTAATGTTCTAAGCACTATTTAATGTACCACAATATTTTGATTATGGTTTACTGGATGCTGCTATAAGCAGAAAGAAAAGAGACAGTTTTTCATTAACTAATAACCACTTTCTGCCACAGAACACCTAAACAAAAGGGCCTTCTTGACCTAATCAAAACAGAGACCAGCACACAATCACACTTGACTCATATAACAACATCCTGACATGACCTGGAACAGACTCATGCTGAGTAAATGACCAGTATGCCTTGGTAGGGCTGTGACTCTGGCACACTAGAATCCTCTCAATTGCGTCATGATTGCCTTAACCACGATGCACAGGTTTTTCCATGTGTCATTACAAGTTCTTGTGGTTGACATTACTGCCTGCAGATTCATCCGGTGGTAAAACTTTTTAATGGTTACCTTGGTATTAGCAATAAGCAAAGCATTTATTACTTAGAGAAGTGACCTTCGCAAACCTACACAGAACTTACAAGGCCAAGATCATGGAAAACTGAATTTTCCTAACTTTTTTGAAAGAGTTTCAAAGCGTAATATTCACCTCCCACTCCGTACGGTCCATCTATGGAAATTAAGCCTCAATAACAGCCCATTTTGAACTCTTAATCTTAAAGGCAGTGTAATAAAAAGGATGTTTAATTGTAAGGGATACAGAGAGGTTGAAAAAAGGTCTAAAAATAAAAATGAATGACCTTTGGTTAAAAATGAATTATATTTTTGGTACATAAACCCACACAAACAGCATAAGTGGGCCTTAGGGGGGACAAAAGTACAAGACAAATGTAAGATGTGGGTCACTTAAGTTCCATATGTGTATGAACTTGAAGGTAAATGTACTGACTCATTAAAATATACTCAATTTTTCTAACTAGTGAGATATGCAAGAAAAAGCCATGTTATCTAAGCATACTAAATTAATAAATACATTAATATCAAGTACATTAAGTATAAAGCATTAACTCTCCTTTATACGAAATGCTTTGACTAGCCAGGCCAAAGCTGCAGCTGCCTTATTGTTTTTCAGTAACTTGAGTGGAAAGAACTCGCGTGCTGCACAAAATAAAGGAAGCGGAGGGGAGATAGAGAATGTGAGGCAAATATGTGGATTTCCAGGCAGCAGCGTCACTCGCCTCCCCTGAGAGGATGCGCTAGGCCTCTCAGCTCAAAGCCTATAGCAGACTATGCTTCTTTCAGATGAATCCAAGGCTGCGCTGCTGTTTGTTTCATAATGATTAGGGATTCGATTTCAGTAAGGTAAACTGAATGTGTGAGTTCATGGCTAATGTTTTCCTAGAGCCAGACAGGAGGGGGCAAGGATTTTCCTCTATTGTTAAATGGCATATTAGTCAATGCAGTACATGGCAAGCGGCAATAAAACAAATAATAATAAACTAAAAAATATCACCAACGGTTACACTTGAACAGGTTGATTACACACTTTTGTATCTGACTGATGTTTATTAGTGTCAGTGATTACTCTTAATGACTGCTGGCATGTCATTTGTATTACTATGTGAACAGGTGATATTGAATTCATTCTTTTATAGGATGTGTTTCTGAGAAATCACTGACAACCTCTTGACTCACTGCTGGCACTATTAAATGTTCTCACAAAGTATTAGCTGACAAACAACTACAGGAAAAAAAAATAAAGCCATGAATACACAATGTTCTGATGCCTTACCTTTAGTTATGCTAAGTGTGTTGTCACCACTTGCCACAAAGTCGTATAGTGCAACAAACAGGTTTGGGTCATTTTCACTGGGCCCCGCCAACAGGTTCTCTTTGGAGTTCCAGCGTGCCGCCTCAGACAGACCAGGGGACTCAAAATCTGGCCGCTGAAGAGCTTCTGCAAATGAAAGTGCAAAACAAAAGTGAATCACTACAAGTAACAACATACAGACTTTAGAAACTAATAACACAGATGTATGTAATGGAAAGACCTACTGTGTTCATATCACTAACAATATTTAACAATTTTCCAAGCAGTGTAGTCAGGCAATTTACAGTGTTACTACTCAGTAAATGCTTAACCTGCAAGGTTATGTAGGCCCACTTTTCACTTCCTCACTCTAGTAACTACGTAAGTTATACATTCGTTTTTATAAAAGTCAGAGACCTCTCCATGTAATTTCCAGTCAAAACAGCCACTAAATACTCTTCCCATGCTTCTTGTAAATACCTCCAAAGTTCAGTCTTAGAAGTTCATTGCAATTTCTGCAGTTTCACTGTTCTAGTGCATTCTTCCTGCTTTTTGTCTATTTCCTTTTCTCAGTAACAGCTCCTTGACAGCTATACATCCTTTCAGACCCTTAGCACTGAGCTGTCTTCTCACAGTGGTACGATGGACAGAAACACTTGTGGACTTTATATCTGAAGTAAGAGTGGAGTTTCATTTTCTCCTATCTCTCAAAGATGAAAGTACTGTCTATATGAGGGTGACAATTTTGGTAACCTACCAGGTCTTATAGGGTGGTTAGGGGTCCTATTTCTTCCCTTCCTTTGACAAGTGGACTATATTATATCTAATCTCCTCAAAAACATTTCTTGAAAAATTAATAACTTGTACTTAATGGCTATCTAGACTGGAAATTAAACAAATGAAGGTTGGTCTCTGACTTTTGCACAGTCCTGTAGTAGTTACCATATAACTCACAGCAGTTACTGAACAATAATCTTTAAGGTAAATAACTGAATAATACACCTGCAGTTTCCAGGGCAAAATGGATTAAGAAATGGTATGACTTTCAACATTGGCAAAATTCCTCTACCCTTACATAACTGAACACTAATATGTCTCTGCTTGATTAGATAAATGAAATTAAGCGGTGTAAAAAAGCATAGCCCACACTGTGAGTTCATTATGCACAGTCACAGTCAACAAGTTGCTCAGCTGTCCCCGCACGTGTTCCGTCACCTTATGCTTCTCTGTCGCACACACACAGCCTCAGTCTGAAGAACCACACCATGCTGAAAGTCTCAATTGGGGTTCCAAGCATCAGAAAAAACTCCCAAACATACCCTTTAATATTATGTAGATACACTGTGCTCAGAATGGTTCACTCATTAACTCATTATTCACTACATAGCATTTGCTATACACTAACTTGACTGACAAAGAACCCTGGACCTCACACAGATGTTGAAAAACAATAGAAAATGGCAGTGATACTATCCATTTCCAAATGAAGCTGTGGTTATTTTATGGAAAACTTAACATTGTTGATTAACCTGTGCTCCTTGATAATTCCAGGATTTGGTACTTTTAGGCACAGATAAACGTCTGCAGTTAGTTTTTAATTCTCCGAACTGTTAAATTCCAGGAATCAAATACATCTTGCTGAAAGAGACGTCATCTAATGGACCTGCGTATTGAAAAATGGTTTTATTTGTAAGATGAGACATTACGGGGGCGTCTGGCCTGGCACGGAAATGAGTCTGTGATAGCAGAAGATAAACAAATGAGAGAGAACTGGCTGTGATTCCTCTGTTAAGCAAGAGCTGAAGAACAAAAGGGGACTGGACAAACTAACATCATAATAGGGTTCTTTTCATGCCCATGTTTCTTGTAGTTTATCTAATAAAGAACTTATTGTTTGAGTATTTGTTGGGGTCCTAGTTGTGAGTATAATGGAGATACTGAACCACATATGAGCCTGAGGACTACTGACCACATGGTGAACCAAAGATCTCCTCAGTAAGTGTGGCATCACCACAACAGGCTGGAGAAGAAGTCAAGAGAGATGGTGGTGGAAGGAAGAGACACAAACTTAATTAGCAGAGACAGGGACAGCAAATCTCTCATGAAGAGCTGGAGGCAGAGTGCCAAAGATGAGCCCAAGCATGAGGAATACTCTCAAAACATTCATAAGACTAGAGAGGAAGCATGAACCAAGACTAATCTCATACTAAAATGAAGAAAATGTGATTGAGATCTACCACAAAAGGCCGAGGTAAAAGTAAAACGTCACCCAGAACAGGAAAGTATTCCACACAGTTCTTCAGAAAAAACTTATGGGACTTATGTATGAACTATATCTTGAAAACAGTAATAATTTAATGAGCAGCTTAATACATCTGATGGACCGTCCACAGGACTTTCACCAGCAATAGCCTTTGTTCCTAGCATATTATTACCGTACACAAAGACTTATTAACCTTGGTTACGTGAGCATAGACATAAGGAAGTATCATTATTATTTTTGCTTACAAAGAAACAAGACATGCAAAAACAAGGATTGGAGAATCTCAAGATCTTTTCTAGGATTTTTCATTTACTTTAACCTTTTGCTATATATCCAAGAAAGGTTCAGAAGTTTTCAAAGTTTTAAAAGTTTTCTTTTTTCCCCTCTGTAAACAAACTTCAGTAAACAATATACAGACACAAAAATAGCAAAAGAACAACATTTCTAGATCTACACACGTGAATGTGAATATGAATATCTGTATACTGTTTGCTTAAAACAAACCTACACAGGCAGTCAGGCAGGAGTCAGATTTCCTAGTATTCTCTCCTCCCTCACTTTTTTTTCCTCCCTTTCTTTTGCTGCGAGCCAGAGTGTCTGGCTTTGCTCGCACCCCCCTCCCCCCTCCACTTTCCTAACGGCCAGGCGAAGGAGAGTCAGCTAGGAGGCCTCAAAGTGAAGCTGGAGTCTATGATTTTCGCAAGACCATCAACCCGAGTTCCCCTCGGCTGCTTTATCTATGCTCCTGGGTCTTCTTCAGACTACCCTCCTCTGTAATTGAGATTCTTCTTCGCAAAAAGCAACACCTCCCCCAACACCCCCCACCCCCAGCTAGTCATGCTAGCTTTCTTCATCTGTTCCGACGCAACCCCAAATTCTTACCTTCGAAGTAATAGCTGGAAGAGGACGAGAGGCCTTTTTTAGATTTACACCCCACCAATTTCAGACAGATCTCCAACATTTTCATTTGCTTTCTTACGCTTCCACTTTAAAGAAAAAGTCCAATTTTTACCCTCAAGTTACACGTCCTAGTAATCCGTCATCCAAAAGTTGATTACCGACTTAAAAAAAATAAATAAATAAAAAAATTAAAAGGGGTTCAGCGGTGTCCTAAGTCGACAACAAAGCGGAGACAAATGCAGAAACCAACTTTCGAAAGAAAAGGCCGATATCCACATCCCAAAACTCCACAGCTGCATCCACTTTATGACTCTGTACTACCGAGTTTCCAGTCCAAGAGGCTCCATTTTTTCCCCCAGTCTGCTTTCGCTCGATCGCTCTTTCGCTGGGAAAATACCCATCCAAACACGGGCAACTTGTCCCCGAGACGTAGTCAAGAGCCAAATCTAACACTTTGACGTAAAGACGTGCTCTCTTGATCCTGCCATCCTGCTGTCCTGTCGCCTGCAAGTATGATAGCGGGAGAAGCCGAGTGCTCGTGCTGCTCGCTGCCAACAAAGGGCCCCTTTCAGGCACTGCCTGCTGTACTGAATGACATCAGCTGGCTGGATCCTCCCACCTCCCCCCCAAAAACACACATACAAACACAGCCATGCACGCACACACATACTTTCAAACATGCACACATCAACAGAGAGGAACACCAAGGCACACTCTGCACTGAAATACCACCACAAGTCAGACTTTGGGAAATTATATGCTACAAGAAGGCTACAGCAGGAATCTGCCTTTGTCGTTCCTGCTGGAGAGTCACAAGGCATTTTATGGAAGACCTCTTCCCTCCCCCACAACCCCCATCTCCACTTTTCTCTCTTTCTCTCTCTCAGGCACCAATAGTCTCTTGCTCTATTCTGAAATGTTTACAGCTTCAAAGAAAGGCGCCTGAAGCTGTGGCTGCCAAGTGTGCTGTGAAGTGTCATGACAAGCATTCTTCCTTTTTGTTTTGTTAGCCTAACTAGGCAACAGGCCGTTTTGGGAACTAAAGAAATGATTTACATGATCAGAACACGAACAGAGACCAGGTGGCACAATGGAGTCAGTCAATGTTTTCAGTTTTATCTAAAATGTATCCCTCAAGCTAGTGACAGAATTTAGCCACTTCATTAAGTAAAGCTACAGCTCATTAATAAAATTAGCTGTGCTTGGTAAAAGTTGTGCAAGTAAAGCTACACATTTTTCTCACAAGCTCAACCAGCCAGGCAAAATTCTATGCATGCAGAACATTGTCAATCAATGTTTTATTGTTTCTGTAGACCTGTCCTTAAACCGCCCCCTAAGCCCTGTAGTCCTCTTCCAGGACCAGACTGATGTGGTCCGTGCTAAAGGGTGCACAGAGGGTATATATAGGGTTTCTGTCAAATTTGACATTCAAATTTTTAAGGCATTATTCGAAAAATATTTTAACCATCACTACCCCAGTAAGGTCTACAGGCTACTGCACACCAGACGCACTGGGTGGACGACACCAGAGACAGTGATGCCAATCAGCATCTCATTAATACTGTACTATATTAAACTCAACAACAACAAAAATTAGACTGTATGGCTTAAATTTACATGGAGGAAAGGTTTCAATCTCAAGTTTTTAAGATAAACTGACTTGCTAAATGTCTGTTTTCACACATATTTACATTACAAGCCTAATTGCATTGTATTTCACCTCATAGCTTTGAATTCAAAAACAGGAAGATTGCCAATGATATAGTTAGCAGACATCCAATACTAAATTAAGTTTTTTCATCAAATCTATACAAGTACAGTGAAAACTGAGCTTGAGCTTCTTGTTTTTCTGCGCCTTTCTTCAACACTTCATATGTGCTATAGCTGTGCTTTGATCATCTCCTACCCAGACCCAGCCCCTTCTAGACTGGTGTGCAGCAGCCTTTAGCCTGCTGCAGTAGTGGTTTTGTATGCTTCCTTCTTT